CTCACGGTAATTCGTTGCCATTCCAAATCCGCAATCTGAAATTTTATATTACAAACTATGTTTTACATTTTTTCCGCGTGTATTAAAATAAATAAAGTAGCTTAAGTTACTCCTTATAATATTAGCAATGTAAAAGTCCCGTCAAAATCGCTCCGTTCTCGTTTCACCGATTAGCATGAATGAATGTACAGAACCAGACATTTTTTTTAATTAATTTTTTGATGTAAGCGTCGTATATACATTTTAATTTTATTTGTATAGATACAATAACGTCATCTATAAATTAGAGATATGAACGATGAACGGAAAACGTTTAAGACAGAAACGTCCGCTGATTTCCTGTACACTTATGACAATCGTTGGAGGATATAATTGCCTTAGTTTAAGTCTGATTAATGTACAGGTGTCAACTACGAAGGCTGGAATAATTATGACAAGTAAATTTCTGTAATTATAATCTTGCTATTCATCTTACTCATTAAGAGATTCGATATAATAAAACTGACATAACAAATGTAAAGCATAATAGTATTATGGTCTCGGCGGTGGTGTAGCGATTTGTCACCGCATCTAACATGCGCTGGTAGCGGCTTCGATTCCTCGCACAATACAAACATTTGAAGTCATAAACATTACTACTTTAATAAGTCTGTGTTTTCAAATAGCATTACGTATTAATTTAAAAAGAAAGTATTCATATTACTTACAGAACATAGTCTGCTTAGTTTGGTCCCAAATGGGACTATGAATTGTTATAAGTTTTTGCAGTAGTTCAATTTTATATAAATAATGCAATATTTCCTTAGATTCTTCTAAAAATTATTGACTACGTATTAAAAATGGTGATTGATGATTAGGTTAAAAGTGACGAGTAACTATTAATTTTTAATATAAGCACCATAATCAACTGCAGTAATCAGAATACTTGGCATCACAGAGTTGGCGGGCCGGCACGCGGCATGCTTTGACTTACCCGTAGTAAACACGTTTGGAGGTAGCGAGGGTGTCTCTCTAGACATAAACGTATCTTTTCAAGGCAGTCCAAGTGATGAGAGCAAAGCGTTTTGTAAAATCAGTTGTTTGAGAAAACAGAGTAATATTAAATGTTTGTTTGACAGAGATTTTACCAACAGTTGCCACGCAGTATTTAAAATAAATAAATTTAATAATAATGATAATAACCCTGTACAATTAACACAACGCCGGTAAGCAGAGCTTGTTTTATGGGTATAGGATAGACAACTGGTGTAAATACATATTTAGAAAACACTCAGACCGATACAAATAATGATACTCATTATTTACTCAGAGGAATCGAACCCGCGACCATCGGAAGTGAAGCGATGTGCTAGATGTTATAAAATAACTAGCTACTCCTACTACTAACTAGTTACCCCGGCTTCGCCCGGATGTACATAAACCTTACTTTTGAATCACTTTATCTATTAAAAAACCGCTTCGAAATCTGTTTTAGAGATTTAAGCATACATAGGGACGGACAGACAGCGACAGCGACTTTATTTTGTACTATGTGTAATGAAACCAATTAAGCACGAGGGAGCAAAAGCACAAAATACTTATATTATTATAACTTTTTACTAGTCAATGTTATTCATATTTATTTAACGTCACATAAATTAATATTATAAACTATATATTATTAATTAATAAGTATATCCTATTAATTAATATAACAAACGCGATATTTTGTGAGTATGGATGGATGTTTGTTACTCTTACACGAAAAAGCTACTGAACGAATTTTGATGAAACTTTAGAGTAATATAGCTTATACATTAGAACAACATATAAGCTATAAATTTCATGCGGGTGAAACTGCGGGCACAGCTAGTATATTATATACAGGCAAAGAATTATTGTTCTTTAGATCACTATAAATTAAAAGTATACAAATCGTTAATTTTTAATTTATTAATATTATTATTCATATCACATCATTATAAATTTATAATTAATCTTTAATATAAAGTTTATGATTTATAACCGTTTACCATCATAACAAATAATTATCATCACTCTACACATTATCATAATTTTATACAACTTATCACACTAGACAAATATTGCGGTGTATAAACCATAAAGTAACACGCCTATAACTTTAAACAAAGCTTAAAAATTCTTTTGTACGTAAAATTGGTACTGCACAAGTCACGTGATAATAAAGTGATGTTCAACACGAGTTATTTCTCTGTATATTTTTAGCAACGGAACTTTATACAAAGTCGTCTACGTTGACGGCTATCTCACATATTTCAGCCGCCAACAGCTTGCTTTGTAAGCTGTACTCCGGTTTGAGAGATGGCATATGTAGTGAAATTAGAGGGCATACAGGCATGACACACTCGGAGTAACCACGCGTGAGGAGTATCACGGGAATAGAACATTGGCATGTCTTTTTACCCACATATAATCTGTTTTGTAAACACTGTTTTATGTGAAATAATATAGTCAATTAATATTGCTTTCAAAAGAGATTAAAATTTTTACAAACATTTATAAACACTGTTTCATGTGAAATAATATAATCAATTAATATTGCTTTGAAAAGAGATTAAAGTTTTTACAAACATTTATAAACACTGTTTCATGTGAAATAATATACTCAATTAATATTGCTTTCAAAAGTGATTAAAGTTTTTACAAACATTTATATACACTGTTTCATGTGAAATAATATACTCAATTAATATTGCTTTCAAAAGAGATTAAATTTTTTACAAACATTTATAAACTCAATTAATACTGTTTCATGTGAAATAATATACTCAATTAATATTGCTTTCAAAAGAGATTAAATTTTTTACAAACATTTATAAACACTGTTTCATGTGAAATAATATACTCAATTAATATTGCTTTCAAAAGAGATTAAAGTTTTTACAAACATTTATATACACTGTTTCATGTGAAATAATATACTCAATTAATATTGCTTTCAAAAGAGATTAAATTTTTTACAAACATTTATATACACTATTTCATGTGAAATAATATACTCAATTGCTTTGAAAAGAGCTTAAATTTATTACAAATGATTGTTCTGACTGCACATTATTGTTAGAACATCAGGTTGAGATAATTCATCTGAAAGAAACATCATTTTACGCTTTTATTTCAGAAACTTGATATGTATTGTTTTTTAGTAAATCTGATATATCTAAAAACGTTCTCAAGAAATGATCTACATTATTCTGACGTTTGAATGGACTGCTATCGTGCGCTAAATTAAAATAAATATCTATGTCTAAAATGTCAATGACCTTTATTTATATATATAAGGGGGGAAGGATCCCCCCTCATATATATAAAACATACACAACAAGGATATATATTTCAATATTATTCAGTACTGACATATAACAGATAAACTATAATAATATTAATATTATTAATATTATTGTGAAAATTTAGAAAGATGATCAGACATTTCTTGATGCCACGAATGAAAACAAAAAAAAATCTGTTTTATTTGCAATCTGACAAAGCATATGTGCGATTTCATTGTAGAAGTTATTTTTATATTTGTTTACATACATTGTGTAAATAAAATATATAGCTAACTATATTCTTTTAACACAATGAATTCCCCATTTTAAATCCTGAATAGTATTGAAAAGAAAAGGAATTCCTATCTGTTGAAATATTATGGAATGAGGCGTCACGAAAACCCAGTGCAATTTCTCATTCCAATGCTGAACGGTGAAATATGTGCGCACTAAATTTGTATTAGGAAACAAAGGTGCACCACAGCAGCGCCCGCCATACGTGCGTTTTTCTAGATTTTCTGTATATTCCAAACAAAAAAAAACAATGAAAATCTCCACTGAAACTTTTGATGTAATGTTAAATTACATTATGATAATGTTTTTGTTTCATGTAAAAATCTGTTACAATATAATTAGGTACTTAACGAATGAAATGAAGGATATATAGTATATAGAGGTATCACCTCAATTTTCAGGAATTGCAACACTTAATAGATCACGACTGATGAAATGTATTTCTCCATTCCTTTTATATTTAGAGATATCACACCTAATATAAGCGATAGGTAACAGTTCCTATCAATTTGTTCGCCATTTCTGTTCCATACAAGAATTAAATAGGCATAACTATGAATTGTCAACTCGCAACATATTTTATTGCTAACATATCCTAGATTTTGTAACATAAGTCCCAAAATTTACATTATTTACTTATGTGCTGTTCGTTATTTAAAAATTAACTGCAGCACAAATGTATAAAACGTTTTTAATTTTACGAAGGGTTTTTTTCATATCTTAAATTTAAATTTAAAGTAATATAGTAAGAGTAAGATAGTAATAGTAAGAGATTTTAATTACATATTTACAACTGAACATTTTATATCTAATATTGGCAGAGTCTAAATGCATTATATTCTTGTGCTGCAGATAAAGTCTATAATTATTTGCATCTTACAACTATTATTATATAATATTTAAACAATTTGCAATCATATCTAATCAAATTAAAATATATTTATTCTTAGTACAGATGATAAGTCAAATTTAACGTCGGTTCGGAAAGTAGTTCGAGACAAGAAGAACTTTTAAAATTTGATTGCGTACCATTGTAATATTATATTATATATTGAGGTTTATATTTCGGATGAATAAAAACTATAACTGAAAGAAATAAATCTGCTCATGCTCATGAAAGTATTTCTAAAATCACTGAAGTAGATGTAGATGGTAAACACATATTATAGTGTACTTGTGAGTGCAATAATCAATACATTTTTCCAAATGGAACATTACATCACATATATATACACACACATCCACTTAGTCCATGTGAATAGATAAGCATTACCGTAGCAAGTTATGTGGAGAAGATAGCTTTGTGATAGGATACTTACTATTTACTTACTTCAGAGATTATAAAGATACGATGGCTTCTACTAATATATAAATCAAGTGTAAAACGTCTGAAATGTCTAAAAGTAATAAGAAAGAATATAAATAAATCGGCATGTAGCAATTAGCGTAACTGTACAATCAATATTCGCCTAGGAAGGTGGTAATGAATGAAAGTAATATTTTCATTTATTACGCGAAATATAAAGACATAATTGTATGCAATAAGTAAATACATGTAAATTTGATCACGTCATGCTACTGTTACTTAGTATATTTTCATTTGCGCTAGCTTATGTAAAATTATTATCATCATATCTATTTGTCTCGGAATCTACCCAAACTGATAATGTACCTACCATAAATAACTAACTTAATGGATGCATATGTAGTATAACTATATGCTAATATTTAATTAATAAATCCTATTCTGACAAGAAATACCCTTCGTTGAGACATGTGATTGCGTTCAGTCTGACTACTGTAGTCACAATGGGCACTGCTGAAGAAGTGCCCCTAAAAGAGATAAAGAATGATAAGAATAAAGAGAAGAAGAAAACGTTTAAAGAAAAAATACAACACATTAAAGAAAATGTAACTTTAGAACCTGTATTAGCTTGTTATGTGATCCCCGGAGTTCTAGCCAGATTGGCAACACAAAATCTGAACTTAGACAAAGCGTGCAGAGTAAATTTGCAGTACGGAGACAAAATCTGTGATGCTCTAATAGCAAGAGAAGGTGATTACAAAAATGAAGAATTGGCCGTCCAAGAAATCATAGCAGCAATGGAGAGCTGGAAAAATGTTTTGTTGACAGCTGTGCCCAGTTTCTTAATACTTTTCCTTGGAGCGTGGAGTGATAGAACAGGAAAGCGTAAGATATGTGTACTTCTTCCAATTGTTGGAGAACTACTAATGTGTTTAAGTAACATTTTGAATGCATACTACTTTTACGAACTACGAGTTGAAGTTACTATGTTTTTTGAAGCTCTCTTTCCAGCTATTACTGGTGGATGGATAGCTACTTATATGGGAGCTTTCAGTTATATCAGTGATATATCAAGTGAAGAATCTAGGACATTTAGAGTGGGCATTGCAAACCTTTGCCTAACCGCTGGCACTCCAATAGGTTCGGCTTTAAGTGGCATTCTGCTAAAGAAAATTGGATATTATGGAGTTTTCTCATTGAGTTCTATTTTGTATATATTCAGTATCTGTTACGGATGGTTTTATATAAAAGATCCAGAGAGACCAATTACGGAGAAAGTTGATCAGGTAAATGTTATTTTTTTAATCACATTTATAATTATCTTTCTTCCATTGCTTATAACTAATTTATATTTTGCTTGTATTTTATTAAATTTGTTGCAATGGTATTATAGTATGATGTAACCAACTTAATGGATTTGAGAAACCGACTTACGTCTTCTACAATTTATTCAAAAGGGCTAGGCAAAGCATAAATGTATTAAGTGCTACGTTCACTGAACATTGAGTAATGCTCGCAATTACATCTAGTATTGCAGTTCGGGTACTTACACAAAATTTCTTACATTTTAATAGAAATTACTGTATAATTGATGTCTTTATTATCGTTATTAGATGCAAGCATAATTATTGTTTAAGCTACACTATCAGTGTAATTTAGTGTAATTTAGGCAAACAAATGATTAAACTATTATTACCTAAGTCTAATCTATAGGTACGAATAACATGAACAATGATTTGACTTTTTTACTTTTTTGATATAGATAAATTCTAAAAAGAATTAAGATTTTATAAATTCTAGATTTTTTTTCAAATGTAATAGCAATATAGCTGAGGCTAACTTGATAATAAGTGATAACAATCGCCTATATACATAAATAGTACTACGTTACGTTGTCATATGACACCCGTGATACCGCTGATGCGTTGTCATAGAATAGAATAGAATAGAATAGAATAGAAATTCAAATAAACTTACATTGAAGCATTGCAAGCATTTTCATTGCGGAGGACTAAGATGTCATGCCTCTTATAATTGCACTGCGTTATCTCACCCTTCAACCGAAATACATCAGCTACAGTACTAACTAATAACATATGCTTTACTCGAACAAAGTCGCTGGATACAGCTAGTCCGTACCTAATATTATGAATGCCTTCTAACAATTGTTTGTTCGTTACGCTTTCATGCTATAGTGGGGTAATCAATCGTTATGAAATTTAGCATGTACATCATTAGACAGATACAATTTCAAGTATATACTATTAAATATGTAGTGTATGGATATAGTGTATGGATCACATATCTAATTTCTTTTTATTTCTTATTTTCAGACAGAAAAAGGTGGAGTATGGAATTTTTTGAAATTATTTTTCAATTTAAAACATCCTAAAGACACGTTTCACGCTGCATTCAGAAAAGGACCTAATCATCGAAGGACTAAAGCTATTTTAATCATGGTGTCCATAGCTTTCATATATGGACCAGCGTATGGTATGACTGTTTCCAATTTTAATTTAAACTCTTTTGATGATAAATAGAAAGAAAGATGTGAGAAGAGATGGATGGAGAGTATGTTGATTGTAAGAGAGTGAATACTATGATAGCTGTTAATAGAGATGAATAGAAGAAAATATCATATTATATTAATACGATAATTTCAATTATAAGGAAAGAAATTAATAATATATGATAATATTTTCTTCACATCTTCTTATGAGAACCGAATAAATCAGTCAATCATATCTACAATTTCCGTAAGTAATAAATAAAATATAAATGAATATCTCATTTATATTTTATATATAAACAGTAATACAGATAACATTTTTGATCAAAATTTTTCGATAAACGTTTAAAATTTTTTAGCAGATTTAATTTTTTGGACGGCCTCAGTGAGTCAGCTAAATATTTTCTTTGTACTTACAAACAGAAATATATCTAAGTATTTATATCATTTTTCTAGTACCCATAATATAAGCTCTACTTAACTTGGTACTAGATGGCACCGTGTGAATTGTCTTAGGTTGTTTTTATTGTATATAGTATAATGTATGCTTTATATATAAAATACAGTTATATAAATTGTAAGTTAAAACACATACAAAAACTAATATTAGTATATAAAATATATTGTTGTACCAATATCTTTTTATATATAGATTTTTTCTGTGTAATTCTATTGCTGACAGTCTAATATAAAAATATTGGTTATATTACATTGATTACATTTGCATCACAATATATGTGGGTACATAAATGTTATGCCATGTCATGTCCTTCAATCTACGATCTCAGTAACCTGTAATTTCATGTCATATCTCAACGTTCAACTGAAACACATCTTCCAAACTAAGCTGCTGGTGAAAAACACTTTTTCATTCCTATATATATATATATGAATATCCTATTCATATATCCCAAATTAAATCAAGTTCCTTTATTATTTATTTATTTACTTCATATTATTTCGCACATTTCTTATTATTTTTTTTAAAGTACATCCACCCTCAAAGACATCGTTGAAAATCAGTGTTTTGCTCCTTGAGTGATTCCCCACACTGTATGTACCATTTTGTATTGCTGTAGCATACACATGCAAGTTTACCCTTATTGTATTACATTGGTTTATATTATATGTCTAAATTACACTATTTGTAATTAAGTCTATATGTGTGTACTAAAATAGAAATAAATATTCTTATCTATCTATCTAAAACACCAGGTACAATGTTATCTACGCAGATATTTTACAAACTCTATATTGCTAAAATGAAATTATCTAATACCCTCTAATACTCACTTATGTAATATGTATTGAAAGATCACAGAAATCAACAAAACATTATCAAAGTACAAATGTTCATCGAAATAGTCGTTTGCAAGATAATGTGTACAAGAATAGCTCATTTTATAGTACTAGATTAGACAATAATTATGAAAGAAGTATAACCTTCGCAGAAGATTGTACGGTAGGTAATTACAGTATAATAAATACAGTGAGATTGCATTTTCTGTAATATATAAAGGTTATATTATTACACAAATTAATATTTAAACATATTTTATATTTAATATTTAAATACTTAAATTCAATTATGTTTGTAGGAAATAAGTAGGTACTTTGTAATCCACTTAGGTTAAACATGTCCTACCTAACATCTCTTTATGTGACGCATGTCTTAGACTCTTGAATCTACAATTCGAATACTAATTAAGCATTTACATCTTTCTACTTAGATTTATTTAGATATATTTTTTTATGATGTATTTGGAATGGCTAAAGAACTTACCCTTAAGTGGTAACCATCACCTATAGATATGAATATCACCACGGTTATCAACTTATCATATGATGCTCATCTATGCCCTTGTGGGAGACTAAGATGTTATGTAAGCGACATGAACATAAGCGCATCGCATTTCAATCGAAACACATTTACAAAGCAAGCTGCTTGGAGGCTGAAGTAAATGAGATCAATACAGTATTGACTTAGAGTATGTTTTCTACATACTCTATCTCAATACTGTAACTGTAATGTAACTGTGTGATGTCTGCGTAAGTACTTAAGCAAATATTATGTATGTGTATTATCAGATTTTTTTTAATCTTAGATTTATTTAGAGACTTTTATAAGAATATGATAATTCTAGTCCCATCGTATATTATTACTTACCTTACCTTCTACTATACAATGAAAATAAAAAAGTTGCTGGCGATGATTCGGATTAGATAAAGGGAAAATTCTGTTAATATATTTCTTACCATAAATTCGTAAGAGTTGTTCATTTGCGATATATTAAAGAAATTTTAGGTACATAAATTTAAAAATAAATATTTCAACAAAGACTGTTCTCGGGGTCCAGTCAAAATTATATGAAAAGTTTTGTCTTTCACACTATAATATAATTTAAAAAGAATAATTAATAATAATAATAGAATAAATAAGAAGAATTAATTTAATAATATAATTTACGTGATATACAAAATAACTTATCTTGGTGGGTAAATCGTGGCAAGGTATACACATAAAAATTACAGGATTTACTAGAAACTTAACTTAACTAAACTTAACCAGGTTTTATATTATGTATAGATCGGTATTTCTGATTAGTAGTAGTAATAATAATAATATTAAATTATAAACAAATGCTTACCTTTGTTTATAATTTAATATTTTATTTAACAAGGATGCCCAATAAAGGACGGTCTATTTGACGGCAAGTAGTAATTACATACATCATTTGACGATGCAATGTGAATCAGCTTCTTTTATGGAAAGCCATTTCTATGATTAATATTATTTTGTTTAATTCCACTGTCATTACCTTCTATGAGACCCCAAATATTCAGTGCGGAAACCTGACCATCGCTACTGGAAGCGTTACAGCGTTCTTTATTAGTTATCAAATTCCTACCGCTACTGCATTTACACTCATATTTAAAATAGACTTAGGTGTTATTTCGTATAACACATTTAATTTCTTAATGAATTTATATTAATTTATTTAATTCCGCTATTGTTGTCACTTGTGCGACCACAAATATTCAGGGCGAAAATAGCTCAGATATAACTTGGAAGACTAGTGTTGAATATTTGGCGATCAGTCATAGTTATTAGTAGTCTAATTGCCCATAATTATAATGTACACTTTAATTTAATTTTTTTTTTACTTTTCAAAACAGGCTCAGACTACTTTGTATAAAGTCTTGCTCTACTATAATATTAAATAAGCTATTTCATTCCAGGGGAGTATACGATCCGTTACCTCTTCACAAGATATCGTTTTAACTGGGATGCTTTCAAATACAGCTTGTACAATACGTTTTATATATGCATTCATGGACTTGGTATGTATCTCAATTTATAACCGTTTATTATAACAACAGAAGAAAAAAAATTTGAAATTGTGTCGCGGATTTGATTCCTCGTACGGCACACACATTTGTATTCGTGAATATGCTCGGTCGGTCGGTATGTATTTCCATAAAAAATTCTGAAAGTCGTATTTATTTTCCAGGGATATTATTATTATCAAATTAATTATTATTTACCTATATTTGGTATGCATTCTGTGTACTATTTAAATAGGAGGGTTTTTATAATATGTACGTTTATTTGTTTTACTATTTATGTGTCTGTCAGCAACTGATAAGTTGAAATAACTTGAGCAATTTTAAAGAATCTTTCACCTGTGAATAACTGTATTATCAACGAGAAGCATATATTGATCTCTACGGTATATAACCAGTTAAGAATATTCTCTTATACATAAACCATATTATTACCTACTCTTTTAAATATGTTTTGTTATGTTTTAGGTGCTCTCCTCTCTATCAGTATACTGAGCAGACGATGGAAGTGGCAAGACGCGAGTCTCGGTCTACTGTCACTCATCAGCAAAGTCTGTGGTGCAGTTGGAATTGCAATGGCTAAAGACAGTAAGGGAATGTACACAGGTATGTTGATATTTTAATAATTCCATATTGAAGAAAACACGTAAAATAGACTATATTAAAAAAACAAAGGAACAACGACTCAAATGGGTATAAAACAAAGTTGTCAAATGACCGGATTGAGATATTAATTAAATATGAAAGTAATAAACAACAAACCTGATTTTAGCGCCGAAGTTGTTATATCTTCTAATGAATAACATAAAATAACATTGAAAAATGTAGCAGTTGAGTTTTTTTCCAGTTGTTCTTAACTGAAATAACTGTACAGTTGAATGACGTAGATATCCAAACTGGACAGTAGAAATAGTGATAGAAATAGAATAGAAATAATCTTTATTCCAATTAAACTTCATATGAGCAGTTTTGAATAATCATCTTTTATTGTTCTACCACTCTCTCGGAACGCAGACTGATCACTAGAAGAATGAGCACGAAATTTGCGTGTTGCTCTTTTCTATAAATATTATTCCCTTTTAAATAAAGATTGACCGGCGGAAAGTATTCTACATGAATAAATAATTTTGACTTTATCTGTACTATAAATAAAACAAACTGCAGAATTAGTTGAGATAGAGGTACACGTTGTCGACTTTATACAAAGTTTATCTTAATAAAAATGCACTGAAATTTCTCTTCCTTCCTCTTGTCCATCTTACGATTTTACTCTGTTAATAACTAACCTTTAACATTTGTTTCAGCCGTCGCAATAGAGATGTTCAACGCGTCATCGTTCACAGCTCTACGATCCATCTCATCTAAATTAGTAACAAGTGATGAATTAGGTAAATTTAACTACGTTTCGGTAGTCTTGTAGTTATAGCGGTGTGCTACGCCTTAGTTCCTATTTCCACAACGACATCTAGTCTCAGCTATGGACAGTTTGTATTATGGTTGCTAAACAACTGTTAGAAATACATTTTATTGTAAATACATATATAAAATAGTCATAATAAATAATCCCTCCATTCTCCCAGATTTAAATTTAAAAATAAATTTGTATTATTTTAAATACGTATAATGAAACGAATACGAGCTGAGTTTCTTGTCACTTCTTCTCATCTATATATATATATATATTAGATTTGACATATCATAAGAGTCTGTAATAGACCTACATGAATTCCGATGGCCACTGGTTTGATTCCTCGCACGGCACAAGCATTTGTATTCATAAGTATATTTGTTTGTATCTGTCTGGGTGTTTTCTACGTATAACATGTATTTATTTACGAAAAAAAAATTCTATGCATTTGTATCGTTTATCTAGTAACATAAGCTTTAGCTAGGTTAACTTGAGTCTAGATGGCACTGTGGGAATTGTCCTGAGATTATTAATATTATTATATTTTTACATAAAAAAGCCACCTACTGGAACATGCAAATCACAAGCAACAAAATCTTGGGTAATACATATTTTTTTGTCTTTGTAGGCAAAATGACGTCACTTTTCAACCTGATGGAAGTACTAACGTCCATGGTGTTCGGACCCCTATACTCATGGATGTATATGATGACCCTGAAGATAGACACGAGTTTTGTGTTCTACATCAGCATGGTCCTTACTATACCGCCCATTATTATATTTGGGTTAGTAAACATATAAATATATTACTATCATATCACTGTCAGTACCGCAATACATCAAGCGTCAGAACGCAACCGAATGCGACAGCTGGGCGACAAGATAGTGTATATAGAGTCGCGATCCTCAGCAGTGTGGGAACGATTAAGGAGAAGACACATATAAAAAGTAGTAGCTAATAACATCCTTCTAGGTTACTAGTAACTTAAGAGCTAGTAGCTGCTTTGGCCATAAAATAAGCATGCCGATTCCGAGAAGAAAGGCTGCCAATATTTGGGAATACTGCCTTGTTGTAGCATGGATAGTTGGATAAAATCCTTATTCGTATCAACTGAGAGACAAATTACGTGCATGGCAGTCGGAGGGTTAAAAAAGCCTACTATACACGTTAAATAATAATGATTATTAGTCATAATATTAACATTTAATTATATGATACAATTAATAAAAAGTAACACGTAGTTTCGTCTTCATTTTTCGAGATAAACGATAGCCTATGTCCATTCTAGTGATATAATTTATCATAAATCCACATTAATATTCGTTCAGTAAAATACTTGTGTAATTTAACAAATAGATTTAACTTACATTTAACTTTTATATATTTTTGTAATAATTATAGCATAATAAATAATATTTTTTTTTGTCAGAATATGGTATGTACAATCATGATAAATATATGATATATGTTACATCATATTCTGCTGTTTCCAGCTTACAAAGATTCATTCAGCAATCCGAGCATTAAAGAAAACACAACAAAAACACATAACTTATTACTTTAAAAACATTTTGGAATATAAAAGAAAACATATCAGATTTAGCTTAGATAGCTCGTATTCATCTGCAATGCTCTTTTAAAAGCTTAAAAGATTTTTGTACGTATTGTAATGCAGCGGGCATCATTCCAACTACAAATCCAATTTCCAATTATAAAAAAAAGTTTAGAAAACATTTAAAAAGTGTTACACCAGAGTTATTTCTCAGTTCTTGATTCAATTTACACCGAGATGAGGGGAGACTTGACTTATCATAGATTATTATCATCATTATTATTACAAGTGCCAGTGATTGGACGACATGAATGAAGATGTTTTTTTTATTCACAGATGGTTTTTCGTGGAGAATAAAAGAAGTATGAGTCAAAGCAACAAAGAAAATACTGAATCAGCAGAAAAGTCTGACACTGCAAACACCGCATGCTCAGCGGATGACAGTTGACATTTTAACATATTGTAAAAGAACTTTAATTAGTGTTTTTTTCAGTTTAAAAAGAAGATTTTTTATTTCTAATTAGTAATGAATATAATCAAAATTTATACAATATAATAAATTAGATGTCACCCGAGACTAAGTACGCTTTTCTTAAAATAAAAGATATTCCAAACTATCTTCATGTGCAAAGTCATTATGAATCGTTCATTTGTTTAGCCGTGTTATAGTAACAAATAGACAGACAAATATCCATTCCCATTTACAATATTGATTATCGATTGTAATACTAAAAAGTCTCGCATTTCTTGATAGCCGACACAGCTCTTTGTACTGTACATTGGTATAAAATTCTATATTTATTACAAATCTAATTTTAAAGTCAATCTGATAATCATAATTGACACTTTATCGCAACATAATTAATGTTGTTGAGAACAGTGAGCGTCGTAAATTACCTACGTTTGAGTGATTTGTACCTACGCCTGTCACCCGCACCATATTATAACGCGCTAATTATAATGCTGCAATAATCGAAAATTGTTAAATTATTGATTAAGTTAATAAATATATTTTTATGGACAAGTTTTATACTCGACTTTCATTTGAATATCTAGTAGCTGTGTCTGCGGTTTCACCTGCTTGTAATTTGTAGCTTTGTGTGAAAAAGTGAGAAACATCCATGCATCTATCCAACCATACTCACAAACTTTTGCGTTTATAATATTAGTAAGCTGTACAGTATATAATACTGTTTTACAAAGAAGAAAAGCAAATTCACTACATCTAAATCAATATATTTCATCAAGAAAAATAATAATTACTGAATTCTTAGAAAAAAAAACATTGAAATTATCTTTAAAAAAATCGTGAGTCTGAGAGTAGCGTATTATATAACGCTAAGTAAGAAATCCTAACTCACCCAAATGTCAGATTTGTCTTTTCTCGATAATTATAATTTCTACAATACACTATTTAAAAAAATATCATTTATGTATTATAATTTATAAAATTAGGTGTTATTTTGTAGAAGTCCATTTTATTACCTATATATTTTAGTACTATTTATCAATATACTCTTAGTCATTTTTTTTATATTGTCAACCGGGTCTCAACAGGAATAAAAATTAGTTATTTTTAAACTTTCTTGTTTACAAATTACTCCTAATAAATTAATAAAATCCTTTAATAATATAACAATAATCTCAGAACAATTCACACATCGACCTCTATATCCAAGTTAACCTAGCTAAAGTTGGGTTATGGACACTAGTTAACTGATACTGATACATAGATTTTTTTCCTAAATACATACATATTATACATAGAAAATACCCAAACCGATACACACAATCATACTCATGAATGTTTATGCCGTCCGTGCGAACTCGAACCCGCGAACTTTGGAAGTAAGACCAATAAGTAAGTGTGGCACCACTAGACAACCGAGGCCGTCAAAGTATTGCTCATAATAATATACAGACATCGATTAGTACTATTTTTATTATATGTATAGATAACATATTTGATAATAGTCTCATTATCGTATATGTAGCTTATTATTATGTATATATAAATAATAATAATAAAACTTTACTACATAAAGTGGAAAGTGAATGTAGCACAATTTGTAGTAATACGTATTTATCTAAGAAAAAGACGGTTATATCACTAAAAACAATCTTTTACAAATAACCTTAATATTACTAGATATTAAAATAGAACATAGAAAAATATTACAATTTCACATAAATAAAATAAATATTTGTTATACCGTTCGTCGTGGCCCAGTGGTTTACTACACCGACTTATACCCAAGAGGTCGTATATTCAAAACTAGTGAATAATCAAAAAAGTATGCGTTTTAATATATAATAGTATAAATTGAAACTTTTCATTATAAATTGAACCATCACCATTGTTGGTGTCATCAACAGAAATTCAGTCAATAATGAAGAAAAACACCAATAGCAACACAAATTTATCCGACTACCAGTCTCAACCCCTGCTATTTAAGATTCAAAATATGTTATGTGTAGGTATCTATTATGGTATTGTAATATTGAAATAAATAAATAAAAATATATATAACATAGAACATAGAACTCTCGAATTTTTAATGTCATTCTTAACTGATTCAATTGAGGAAAAATGCAAATCCTTTACAATAGCACAAAATATTCGTTTTATTTACATTAGAACAAAAGAATAGTACACACAAAGTTGACTATGATATAAATAGAGTTTGTTGTACCTAATAATACTGGTATAAAACATACTAATCCCCATTGTTATCAATCTTCTCCTGATAAGGCCATGATGAAGTTACCACATAGCTACTCAATTTTAAAGTGTATATAAACAGATTGCTATTGTAAATAGAACTATCTGTATAGTTACTGTGGTCGTAAATGAACATAAATACAAAACACAATGTGTTATAATTAAATAATGATAAGAGTATATCTTCTTACATTATACAGGTTGTTACAGAAATAGACTTTTGTTGAATAGATTTAACCTTCATTCAAATAAATCTATACTTCTGTGATAATTTTATAGAACATAGAGTTTTTTGTTTACTTGATTAAACGCGTTAATAATATGAAGTACAGATTCGCGGCTATCGTATTGGATAGCCTATTTATCGAGGAAAACTATACATGTTGTATAATATTAAACTATGACCAATATGAGCGAAGCATCGATAAAAAATGTTGGAAAGACGAGAAATATCACGGATGAAGTTGCGCGGTCATATAGTTAAAAATAAACAATTTTGAATAGTGTTTTATTTATTCTACCGTCAGTCGGAATATTTATTTGGTTGTCAAGAAATATAGCATGAAAAAAAGTTACAAGTTCATGCTTGAGGGCTACCATTGGAGCATAAAAATGATATATATTTCAATTTACCTTGTATTACCAAACATTCCATTAAACAAGCGTTAGATCTCACGATTGATCACAAAATTTCATTGATTAATGGTCCATCTTTTATAGAGAAGAATACACTACATTTGCAAGGGACATTTGGTTTCTTGAACTATGTAGGCCAGATCAATATACAATATATTAAAAATAAAAATCATTGACATATTGGAAACAGGCTGTATTTGGATAGGTTAAAAGCACTGCATTAACATGTTTAACAAGAAGTATACAATCATTTTAAAACGTATAGTGAAATAATAAATTAAATTAATCATTGCATATGTCAGATAAAATATTCCTAGTTAAATACAAGCATTATTTTCACCAGTAGTTGTTATTCTATCAAATATGGCAGACAAGAAAACAAAAATAGAAGAAGTGCCTTTGAAAGATAAGGGAAAAGAAGAAAAATGTGATAAAAGGAAGACTTTCGTTGAAAAAATATGGCATGTATTGTCGAATATAACTGTAGAGCCGATTTTCTTCGGTTTAGTAATACCTTCTATGCTAGCAAGGTTAGCTGAACAGAATTTGAATTTGGACAAAGCTTGTCGTGTTAAATTACAATATGGTGACGCTGTCTGCGATGCCTTAATAGAAAAGAAAGGCAACCACAGTTTCGAAGAAGTAGAAGTGCAGAAAGTGATTTCAGCTATTGAATCATGGAAAAGTGTAATACAAACAGCACTACCAAGTATACTTGTGATAGTTATGGGAGCGTGGAGTGATAGGACTGGTAATAGGAAACTCTGTATTCTATTGCCACTTTTTGGTGCGCTGTTCGTTTGCTTAAGCAATTTGATCAGTACAATATTCTTCCACACGATTTCCGTTGAAGTGACTATGTTTTTGGAAGCCATTTTCCCGGCTATCACGGGAGGTTGGGTCATGATCTTCCTGGGTATTTTTAGTTACATTACTGATATAACCACGGAAGAGTGCAGAACGTTCAGAGTCGGTGTTGCTAATTTGTGTTTAACAGCCGGTATACCTATTGGATCAGCGTTGAGTGGAATACTGCTAAAATGGTTGGGTTACTATGGAATTTTTATAATATCCACTCTCATTTATATAATAACTATATTGTATGGAATAGTTTATTTGGAGAGCAATACAAAACCCAAGAATAATTCCGATGAAAAAGTAAGTAACTTCAACTTCAACTTGTAATCTATTAAGAAAATCGTAATCTAGATTTTATTACATAAACTATGTATGTTCTAATCTCCTCATACGGCGAATCCTGGATATTTTGTAGAAAACTGACTCGATCTAGCAGAAACCTGTTAGTCAAGGTATTTCGAAATTTCATTACTATTACTATTACAATTAAGGGCCTCGATAATCTAGCGGTTTAGCTCACCGCTTTACTTCATGGTCTCGGGTTGGATTCCATGCGCGGTACAAACATTTAAATTCATGAATATGATTATTAGTGTCGTTCTGGGTGATAGGTGAAAAAAATGGGAGTGTGTGTTTGTATCAATTGTCGAGTGCTCATAACACAAGCTCTGCTTAGCTTGGGGCTAGAGAACGAAAGTGTGTTGTGTGAATTGTCAAAAAAAATGTCTATATATTCATTCATTATAATCTTTGATTGAACTAAAAAGAAATAAGTTTTTCCATACATTATGTCAAAGAGGAGAGAATAATGGAAGCGTGCTCCCACCTACGTTAATATGCGCTGGTTGATTACCACTGGCTGGGAATAGTATGAAGTTTATATTTATATATATTATATATAGTATACAGTAAGGTCATTTAGGCCATTGTGTATAATTCACCAGGAATTAAGCACAATAGTTTCTACATAAAAGTCAACCAAACAAGGTACATTGCTTCCAATTAAGCCTCTAGCCCCCATTACTTTAACCCCCTACCCGCCTACGAAACTATATGCGCTTCCTAGTAACAAACTACCATGTACAAGGTCATAGGCGTGGGTACCTCTATCCTACCTATTTCAGCCAGTAAAAATAATGCTTCGTTAGTTTTATTTTGATTGGAGAATTTGGCAATAAAAGCAGGTGTTGTGAAAGGGAATTGTTAGTAATGAGGACTGATGACCTTATTGCTAGCAATGTACCATGTCAGGACGTCCACGTGGTTCCCCCTGGAAACTATCGGATAAACTCTTGGTGAATTTGTCACGATGGGCTAACTGACCTGACCTCATGCTCATCTTATCTCCACTGGTGTCCCGCTGGCGTAAACCGTTAGCGCAAGCGAATGCAGCATTTTATTATCTATTACTCTATATATCCAAAATAACAATACATACCCTATGGGGCCCTACAATGTTATAAGAATACAGTTGTAATAATTTTCATATATGCTGGCGACATTGGTTATCTACCAGTTTAGCTGGCACCCTTACTTCCTGTCACGGCTTCCATTCTTGCACGGTACAAATATTTGTATACCTGAGTATGATTGCTTATATTGGTATGAGTGATTTCTTTGTATATTATGTATGTATTTACATTAATTGTCTAGAACTCATATCGGAAGCTCTGCTTAGTTTGGGATGAGATGCGATTGTCTTGGTATTCTGGAGTCATATAAGCAATAGTTGGTAGCTACCATTACGTGAACTATTAGCCTTTTTGCTCTTCCCGTCACATAAAAATCACTTAAAAAAACTACATTTATGTTACAGATTAAGTCACTGACGTGTACAGATTTGAAAACTTTAGTTAAAGAAACTGCAATGGTGGCTCTCAAGAAAAGAGACGGTAATAATAGACTGAAGATTATACTTACTCTGATTGTGGTAGCTATCATCTATGGACCAGATCAGGGTAAGTTGATTGAAATTGGAATGAATATATAAGTAATCATTTACTAATTATAATATATAATTATATTAAAAGTCTTGTTATTAATTAAAATAGTGACAATTTGATCATATTTAAACGTACAGAATTTAAATAGTACATATATAAATAAAGTAATTTATGACCTATTTGTGATTGCAAATAGCTTTAAAATATTTCTTAAAAATAAAACGCAGCATTTTAAAAATAGAACATATAACGTTCCATTTTAAAAATTATGTATTTCAGAGCGGCGCTATTGTTTTGTTATTTTTATAATTTTATACACATTTTTCTCGTACATTCCACCGGGTCACCGATAAAGACATCCAGTGTACAAAACTGTTTAACTACTTTTTTTTATTCTTATAACTATAAACTGCAATATCCTCTACTAAACACGTACTTTATTTTGTGTATACTGTATATTACTTCATTTTCTTATAATTCTTGAATATATATTCCAAATTTAAATTGCGCTGAATTACTAAATTATACTTCAAGTTTTTAACATTGATTTTGTTGTTTATTAACATAATAAAAGTACATTGTGATTTAACGGTAGGTGTTATTTTCTAGGTGAAAGAATTATATCATACATGTACGTAAGACATCGGCTGAAGTGGGATGCTCTCAAATACAGCTTCTACTCAACTTATAGTATTATTATACACACTCTTAGTAAGTATATATTATATTTACTTTAAGTTAATAAGTACATGATATCTAATTTATAATAATAAACAAGGGGACAAGACCATTGGGGTAGACTTTAAAAAATCGGTGAAACTGAGGTACCCCAGTTTCACCGATTACAGCTGCCAAGCAGCTTGCTTTCTAAGCTACATATGTTTCGGTTGTACGGTACAGATTAGGTAATGAAATTAAAAGATAAGAGGCATCTTGTCCTTTGAAATAGTAACACGTGAGAGGTATCGCAAGGGTCATGTCTCTAGTAGTGCTCTTGAATAAAGGCGATGTTGCCGCTTACCATCAGGTAGTTCGTCATATTGCTTACCATTCCAATTACTGAAGAAAACATCACTTAGAGTTGTTTTTTAAAGGCAGTGAAATTACATCTCTCCGATCGATACCCCGTCTAATTTAAACGGGGATTAAAATTACCGCGGCCTGAGCCGAGCTTCGAACCCCTAGCTGTGTCCTCAGACTGAAGTCTGGCGAGAGTTGGCCTTCAGCCGCTCCATAAGTCCTTCCGCAGGTTTGGAGTGCTACGCGCACCTCGGTACTCTTAGACTAAAGTCGTATCTGTCAGGCGAGTGTTGGCCTTCTGCCGATCCATAAGTCCATTTTCGGGCTTGGAGTGCCATCTGTACTGAACTGTAAAGGCTAGCTGCGGCCAACATTATTATAGTAGTCCGCAAAAAAAGTGAAATTGCAAAGTGTGTGGATTTTTTAATATTCTCAGTAATATTCATATTTGTGGATGATTTAACCGCGGTAGACGTTGTTTTATACAACGAGTATTGCACTAAGACCTTCCCTCTTAATGATCGAATTCCAATCTTTATTGGATCAACACCCATATTGTGACACGTGTTGCCTCTAAACGTGGCATCATCGGGCAATGAAAGTTCGGATACGGTTTGGAAGCCTAGTGTTGATTTGTCATCGTCTGGACAACAATTCAGTACGTTAGATCAAACTGTGCCATGAAAAATTTGAAATGATTTCAGGTGCTTTGTTTTCGATCAGCGTCTTCAGCAAGCGGTTAGGCTTCCATGACTCTATGCTGTGTCTCATATCAGTCACCAGCAAACTTATTGGCACCATCTACGTGGCTTTTGTATACACTGATATTCAAATGTTCCTAGGTGAGTATATCTCTTATGGACGTACAATGGGACACAATTAAAACTAGAGAATTAATTAATTAACACAATCATGTCATAAGAATGTGAAGCATATCACATGCTTCAATGAAATTCATATAGCAATGAAATTACAGAATAAAAGGTATGACGCTTTAGTGCTCAAAAATGGCAACGCACAGGTGGTATCACTGACGTCACATCGTATCTTAATATACGTGGTGCTGTTCATGTATATGGGCGACGGTCACCACTTACCATCAGACCGGAAAGTTTATTTGCCACTAAAAAAAAAAAAATTAATTGATTAATATTTATTATTAGTTTTACCAAATTTAAAATTAGATAAATATAGGGACCTAGATGAAGAAAGCTTTTCTTGTCTCTTTAAAAGAACTGTAGATATACAGGTGTTGAGATTTTTTTAAATGAAATTATTTGTTTTTATATTCTGTAATCAAAACTATAAAACAAAATTATATATATGTGATCTCATTATCTTTACCACTACTATTAAAATATTTATCCCATTATAAATTGTTTTACAACATATTTCTACAACAAAGACTACAGTGGACAAACCCTCCTAGTGAGTTTAAAATCGCAAGCAGCTTCTGGTAACGATTAATATTATAACAGTATTTTTTAATTAAATTACTTTGTTTTTCAGTACCAATAGCGGAAATATTGAACGCAACCACCTTCACATCATTGAGATCAATGATTTCTAAACTGGTGCCTAACGAGGAGGCAGGTACTATGTTACTTGTAATTAAATTAGAATTAATATTTCTGTTTAGACATTTTTCTTTATGTACAATTAAATTAACAACATGAGTCGGTTGCGCCTTATAGGGATTATCAATCCCAAACTAAACAATTTTTGTATTATCTAGCACAGATAATACAAAAATTGTTTAGTTTGGGACTCGATGGCGCTTAGTGAGGAGAAAGTTAAATTAGTTTAAACTTGTCCAATAACAATAGAATTCACATTTTAGGTATAAAAGAAACACGTTAGTTATTTGAAAAATACCTGTTCTAATACTAAAAAGAACTAAATTCTACATCATGACCACCTTAAATAAAGCCACTATCTCTCAGTTACCTATATGTATTTTTTCTTTAAAATTGGTTAAGTATTTTATACATTTTATAAGTATTATTAACAAAGATATATAATAAATCATTTTTTTCTTATACTATACATTAATACAGATTTTAATGTATTATATATGCAATATTACGTTGAATATAAAATACTAAGCATAAATTATATAAATTTGTATTAATAAACACAGAATAATTCATCATAATCTTTCTTTGCGTCGAATCTAAGCAACATTTTGTAGCTGCAAACGAGCAATTCATTCAGAATTTAGCGCAATAAGTGTATTACTACTTGAAATGGCAATCAATGGCAGAAGACGCAAGGGAATCCTTACGTTGCTCAAGCAATCCACATCACGAACAATTGGATGTTTATTGTCACTATACAATACTATACATACGACTATATACACACTTCAATTCTTGTCTTGTAAACACAAGTGCTGTGACTAGGCTGGCCAATTCGGATAATTAATTTTTCAGGATTTTATTAATACAAAATTGTTATATAGATACTTAACATTGGGTGGTTTAGCGGTTAGCATATGGTGTATTGTATATAATTGTATAATAATCGTTTCACATAATTACCTCTTTTCATGATGACAAGCCGCTTACAGACGAGACAGACACGTTCCATAGTTCATCTATAAAATATTCTCATGCCATCCGTCGCTCATACAGCTCTGTTCCATATACATTTTTCTTTTCTAATCATATATTGCTGTTATTACACTATTTGTTGTGGGTCTACTTTATTTGTATTTTACATTTATTAGTACCAACCCCACAAACACATTGCCTTACTTCCTTAGAAAGCTATAGGGTTCAATTCATAAAAAATGTACACACATTTGTATTCATAAGTGTAATTATTTGTCTGGGTGTTTTTATATATTATTATGTACGTATTTACAAAAAAAAACGATTGAGTGTCATTTGTTTAGTACCCATAACATAATTTAGGGTTAAATTGGCACTAGATACCGCTATGTTAATAGTCTAGAACTACTTATTATTATTATATATTTTCCACTGAATCACAATGTCTAGAAATAAAAGCAAGTGAGACATATATATATAGCTATTCAAGCACAACGTCATCAGGCCTAAAGTTTTCACTGAAAATAATAGGTATATTGAAAATCGGACTATTCTCTTTGTTGAGACACGGGGCATAGGGAGATAGGGGCTGGCTATTCGGGACATCCCGATAAAATAAGAATATTTACCAACCCTATCTTTAGCTGTCTCCGTGAATCAATATTTCAATGAATATGTACATAATTGATTTATTGAGTTTATTTAAATTTATTTTCGGGACTTAACGCTACGCGATAAACTCTGTAAAGCCTAAACAAAGTAGCAATTTCTAAAGATTTAGAATATTTTAAGCATTAAAACGATTCAGTAAACTTATATTCTATATAGTAATATTAGTAATTATTATTAAAAATAAAACAAGTCATCATCGTACGACTCTTTAACTTATTTCCACTAGCTGTTGCCCGGGACTTTGTATATACAAACTTTAATCCTATATTTAACTCTCTTCCAGATTTTTTACTGATATAAAAGGTAACCTATTTTCGTCCTTATGAGACAATCTATCTGCATCCACTATACTATACTACAATCTTATTTCATGAAGCTCCGTTCAGCCGTTTAGTCATGAAAATCTGACGGACAGAAAAAACACTTTTGCATTTATAATAGTACTGGCTGTACCCGCGCATTCGTCTGTGTGTTATAGTGACCCTGACGAAATGAAGAAAAAATATTGAATAATCTAACCAAAAAACCCAAAGAAAAAATTTCATTAATCTAGTTTCAAAAATGACGGTTGTCTATGGTATTGGCTGATTATTACCACTTTTCCCTCAGGTAGGACGTCAACCTGTCTGTCACAATACATTATCTGAATATTATGTTAATTGCTAACCTTATTTTTGTTTCAGGTAAAATGAACTCATTATTCAGTTTGGTGGAAACCCTGGCGGCTCTTGTATTTAACCCTATTTACTCCATCTTGTATATGAAGACTATCAACGTGTTCAGTGGCACTGTTTTCCTATTTAGTAGCATATTTACGATATTCGCCATATTTATTTTAATGTAAGTTTTTTTGTTTTAAAAGTATACTAATCTTAATTTCTATACTACAAATTGATTTTGAGTTAATGTTCAATTGGAGATTATGATGGATGGATTGAACCAATTTAATGATTCATAACAGTATGATGCTGCCGCCTGCACTAACGTTATGTGTATGCGGGCACCAGTAGAGGATGATAAGAAAAATATGAGGTTAGGAAAGTTATCTCATCATAGCAAATTTACTAGAAATACAACATGATGGTTTCCAGGGAAAACGCGTGGGTATCTACCTGACATGGTACATTGCTAGAAATATATATTAATTCATTATTATACATTCCGAAGTATTACTAATTCATATTATTATCAATCCCTCTTCCCCCAAGAATAAATTATATGTACTTAAGCGTATATTGAAACTATATGGGAAAATGTTTTTTTTATTCTCGCACTTTTTTATGCTATTTGGCACAACAGGCTGTTATAGCTTCACCGGGAATGAAAACACGCGGAAGGCCATCTTCTGCCTAATGGATATGACTTTAGTTTAGTCTAATGGCCCGCTGAACAATAAAAATTCACTACCATACCTCATAATTTAAAACGAAATATATCTCATAAAGCATGCAGCTTGGTGACAGAAATACAGAGGTACCTAAGCATATAGAAGAGTAAGTGCAGCAGAGATAGGTGCCCACACGTGGACTTCATGAAGAAATGTCTCGGTTCTTATTTTTTTGCTTATATTGTTCTTATTTCTTTTGCTTTTTATTTGCAGTTGGATTTTCAAGTGTCACAGACAAGAAACGAGACAAAAACGATTAGAAGACGCCGAAATGAGGACATTGGATGAAAAGGATAAAGAATCTACTCTACCTCGACTGACTGACTGACAAATTGATTGATATACTATTCTGGATGGTTCAACTAACGTGGAAATTATAAGAAATTTTAAGTTCTTTTAATATTTCATGATGATCTCTAATTTCTGAATTCACTGAAATCAATTATGAACTAAATATCGAAGTCTTCTGCCAAAGCAAAAGCTTTAATTCCCTATTGGGTTTTTAGAATACACATTTCAAGGTTGACAATGTATGCATACAGCAACCATAATCTCATTATAAGTCAAGGTTTTCGAACACATCCAATTGGAAGAGAAAGCAGTTTTCTAAAGAAATAATCCTTGGCGAGTTACACAGTACTATCTAGTCCCAATACAATCTGAGCTATGACTACTGATATATATTCTATTTGAAAATACTTAATATACCTATATAATATAACTAACAGAAAGTTGTGTTTACATTTCTGACTGCCTCTGGTAAAGAAAACACCGATATCAAACCAAAAATTAATCCGAGAGACAGCGATAGGCTCGCCTCTTGTTATGATATATATGGACCATTACAATGGACAGTTGACAATACCTTTAACTATCCCATCTGGTATGACAGTTGTTAGGTTATATTGGGTTTGTTTTGTTTAATATATACTTGGAAAATCATACATAACCTAGATTATATCACGAGTATGGTAACCATATCTATACATATAAATAAAATTGGTGTCTGTTTGTAATATTGAAATAACCGTTTTTTACTACATGCATATAAATATAAATACGGTACATACACCACAAAACCACTTATTAAAATTTTTGTCTATCTGACTGTTTGTTCCGGCTAATCTCTGAAATGGCTGGACCGATTTTGACGGCACGTAGTAACTTAGTCTACTTTTATTTTAGAAAAATTCGTATATTTGAAGAACGCGGACGAAGTCGCGGTTGCAGCTAGTTTAATATAAAAAAGCATGCATTGCGGGTATGCCTATAGTAGGTAATTCCCTATATTGTGTAAGAAAAGGTTAAGCTTGGTCGGAAAGGGATGATATTCAAGGAAATGAAAGTGTCTATGGTAACAACTTTTGTTCTACAACTTTCTGAGTGAGTTTTTTCCAGAAACCATACTTTTTTTTTTTTAGAAAAGAGTTGTAACATAAAATACAATAACAACTAAGGATACAACCCTAACATTAGCTATCATTAGCCCTATCATAATAGGAAAATATGTAATGACATTGATAGTTTTTTCATTAAAAAAACTATCAAGTTTTTTTAATGAAAAACGGAGGCATACTGTAACACCCCGACGTACCATTCCACTAATTAAGAACGTTGGCTGTTTTTGATTGAATTCCAAAAAATAGGGTTGCCGATTCTCTGTTTATTATTTATGTAATATGTTTTTTATTTTTGTATAAAAAAATAATAGCTTTGAGAATTAATATTAATAATAATTTAACGCGGGATAAATTAGTTATTAGTAATATGTTACAGTCCTACCGGCTTTTCAAATCAAATCAAGAGTCATTAATTCGTGTAGGACATTTTAGCCACCTATGAACGTCAAGTTTTGTATTAACATTTTTTCCGTTCAATATACAGATCACAATTAAGAAGAACTAGCAAGAAACTCAACTAATTTTTTAAAGACAATTTATTTTCTTTATGCACTTATATAGTAGTCTATGTCTAACATAAAATGAATATCCCGTGCATGAACTACTATTGCCATACACGTCTGTCCTTTAAGGAATCGTTTAGTGAGTAATGGCTTTGCTCAATAAATATGTTTTGAAAAGTAATTAATAAATTTATTTAAACGTAATTCTGGAATATCTGTTGATGTAGTAAATTTTATACCTATACCCATAAAAGAACAATTGATTTTTTTAGAACGATACTTAGGAAGAGCAAGTTTGTCTTTAAATCTAGCTTGAATATTATGATTATGGTTTAGCCTTTCCAACTAAGCCTGTATGTTCTATTATTACATAATATGTTTGTGTTTGTGTTTATTGTATGGACACGCTTGCGTGCGCGCACAGACATGTCACTGTGCGAGTATGTCCTACTATGATTAACAAAATTGTACGCCGTGGGCTGTGATTTGCCACTTGTATGCAGATCTTAATAAAGACCAAACACGACGCATGTTTAGTATAAACTAGCTGTCACCACTTAAAATATTTATAAAAATGTATATGTACCTTTTAAATATGTACATGGTTTTATTTATTTACAAATACAAAAGGCGGTCTTATCGCTTAAGGGATATCTTCCAGGCAACCTTTGGGTAGAGGAGAAAGACAGAAAGTGGTAGAGGGCGCAAAATGGAACGAATAAACATAAATAATAATAGAAATATATCATATATATATACATACTTAAGATACATGTACAATAAATATACAATATCAGATACTATTCCCACAGTTTATGTGGGAAAATATAGTCCCTTTATTTTTAATATTACTGTAGGTATACCTAAGTATTTAGAACAATTTTTCTGTTTAGTTTTAATATACTTTACTAATACTTAAAAAGAAATATATATTTAAATATTTAGATACTATGTTTTATTGTTAATGACAAAATAGCTGTAATAGTTTAATAAAAACAATATACATGATGTAGTTTTTTATTATATATTCATGGCTACATACATATATCTGGGGAGACTATAACAGTACAACTAAGTACAAAGTCATATGGATAGTTGACGACCTTGGTGGTGGTAGCGGCACACCGTTTTACTTCTAATATTTGTAGGTTCGATTCCTTGCACGATACAAAAAATTATATTCATGAAAAATCATTTTTTTTATTATTCGTTTATTATTATTGTGATAAACACCGGGCTAATAGGAAAGGAAAAAATGGAAAAAGGGAATTATGATAAGAATATACCTTGTAAAAAAAGATATACAGCTAGGCCCAGGAAGGTAATCCTAATGGGAGAAAAGTAGAAGGAAATGTCAATAAAAAGAGCTATGATGATAAAAATAAAAAAAGCTATAAGTAGTCTGTATGATGATGTCCTCTTATCACGTCGAACTTGATTTTGTCCACCCTGAAAATGGACTATTCTTCAGCGCGCCGGGTTACCTTGATTAATTTTGATTAATTTTAACATTTCCTTTGATTAATTGCAGAAGACCATATTTTCTATTCTGTGCCTACTAATTCAATTACTTTGTTTAATAAATTAATAGTATACCTATACTGGTGGTCATTATACTTACCCTAAAATTAAGAACACATGAGTAGTATTATTAATCTTGTACAGTTTCTAACAAATCCTAAACGTAGTTTCTTGTTAGTTCTTTCCACCATAAACTATATAAAACCACAGATAACATAATATAAAACTGATCATCGATTTCAATTGTAAACGCCTGTCATCAACATCAATAAAGATATTTTCATTTGATATTTTTGACATCAAAAAACAAGTAACTTAATATTCAGAGATTATCCTAAATAACTAGTACAAATAGTTTTTTTTTTGTAAATGTATAATATACATACAAAACACCCAGACCTATACAAACGATAATCCTCAAGACTACAAATGTTCATGTCATGGAGAATCAAACCCGCTACCATAGAAAATGAAATGGTATACTAAACGGCTAGACTACCTAGCCCATCATATTACATGCTCTGTATAATTTTAAAACATTTTCCTTTTCCTTTTTTTCCCTAACCCAGCTGTGTTACAGTTTTACAGCTTTACAGTACTATTGTCCCGTATAATCTTTTATGGACTTCCTCTTAACTCTCTAACAATGCTTAAATAGGTAATTGGAATAGCGCTGAATACGAACATAACAGCGTCAGTATAACAAGTGTGGTCAGTCGTATCGTTACTACAGACGTAAAAATATTAGGTACACCCGTTATTAGAAAATACATATTATTTTCATCTGTGGTAATAATATTATTGTGATAATTTGATATGTGATTTGTGTTCATTATTTGTTTATGAAGCGATATTTAAATAGTAAGAAATGATATCAGAAATAAACATTGTATAGATTAGATGCAACTGTTAATGATAACACTGCAAGATAAGTATTATGTCAATATAGACTTCAACACAGACAAATACAAATTAATAGAATTACCAGCGATAGAATATATAAATTATAAATATAATATTTTAGGTTCTTTATATTGTAAATCGTATCTAGCTAGTAGCTAGTTTTCATATACGAAATATACTGTAGCCTTCGCAAGTTCTAAACATATTACTTGTCGGTTCCTATTTTAATATTAGTAGTAACTAGCAATCGAAAGTAATAATTGGTATATGAGAACTGGCCAAGTTAGACCTTAGGCTACAGTATATTATCCTAAGTTATAAGAAGAAATGATATTTTATATTGTTATAAATACATTTCAGGATAGACCATTGAACTTGGCACCCATTTAGATCTCATCTCTTTTGTCGTAGAAGTCAACAATCAAGGCATATATAATAATATTAAACTCGGCTATCATTTCACATTTATGTTTTTGATGGGATATACATATTCTTCCAATATATATATTTGTATGGATGAATATAAATAATGAAAACGCTTGCGCTAACGGTATGCGCTAGCGGGACACCAGTGGAAGACAAAACCCACCCGCCAAACTCATATATTTTTTATACAACAATAATGGTAAACAAGTATACGCCAATTTGATGGTTACCTAGTTACCTATATAAAGGTATATACCTTTATATTTATTTATTTATTTCAGGCAACTAGGCCCATATTATAAATACCTTATAGACTAACATACATATAATATAATATTTATAAATAATACAATAATATTGTCTGTGTGATCACGGCACTGAAGACGGCAATCTGCCACGGTAGCGCCGATACACCACACCTTTCGGCCAGTAGTCCTCTTTCATGAAGGTGGGCAGCAAGTCGGTGGGGACCAGGGCCACAAACGCTTTGAAACTCGCGTTGTGACTCGACTTCAGCTGCGTCACCCTCAATGTCAGGTTACTCTTGGTACGAATATAATCGACAATGTCCTGCTCCTTATTGCCTACGTAGTACACTTGAAACATATGGATATCACGTGCGTGTTACCGACCCTTAAGAAATTCCTATATCCTTGAATATCTTTATTCATATACGTTTATTACAGACTCTTGTCAATTTAGAATACTTTCGAATTAAAAAGAACTGACAAAAAACTCAGCTCTTATTCTTTTCAAATGCGCTAGTACAGGATTAAAAAATACCGGCTACACACAACTCTAAAATTATGTGCAATATTTGAGTAGTTGTAATAGAAGCGAAGTAGTAAACGATCCAGGGCCTTATCTACCAGGGCGTTCTCCACCAGGTAGTTTTAGGGTCGGCAACGCGCACGTGACACCCTTGATGTATCACGCATCCATGGGCTATGGTAACCATTTACCATCATATAGGCCCGGTCCGTTAGGTCTTATTAATTGATGGCCTCGGTGGTCTAGCGGTTTAGCACACCGCTTTGCATTCGATGATCGCGGGTTCGATTCCTCGCACGGTACAATCATTTGTATTCATGAGTATAATTATCTGTATTGGTCTGGGTTCTTTCTATGTGCATTATGTATGTATTTACAAAGTAAATAGAAGTATTTGTATCAGAAGTCTAGTGCCCATATACAAGTTCTGTTTACATTGGGACTAGATGGCGTTGTGTGAATTCACACCAGGGATATTTATTACGTACGTACTTTATCGTATATAAGCCGTTTAATGAACCCTAAACTATTGTGAACCAGTTCTTCTTGAAGATGTCACGTGTAGGAAAATAATGTAATATATACCCAACACTATTGTCTTACTCATGCTTATAGAAATGGTTATCGACAGACTTATTTACTCTAATTCTATATTTGTTGTTTTTAATTCATTGTATTACTCATTGAACCAAAGATTTACAAAGTAGACAATTAGACATGTATACGGAATAATAATATTTTATATGTTTTAGTACATTTTGCCATAATATCAATGTTATAGAAAGGTTACTAGAAATAAAAGAAAGAACATAATTGTCTAATAACTAATATCTAAAAATATACATTTACAAAATTACTATAATACTAGACAAAATTACACTTTTAACTTTTAATTATTATTTTTATTCATTTATTCACTCTTTATTGCATCAGAAGTACAAAGAATGTAAACAGAAGTAATAAGGTCAAAAGGCGGTCTTATCGGATAAGGTATATCTTCCAGGCAACCTTTAGGTAGAGGAGAGAAGACAGTGTTATATAGTTTGCAGGATGGCCCATACTCAGCATATGCTGTAACAGATTACTGACAGCGCTGATATAACTAAAATACAGCATTGAAATCTGTTAAGTCATTTTCTAATTTTATTATGCATATACACCCTAATATAATACTCGTATAATCATTAATAATATAATAATAATACATGAGAAAATTTTAGACACGACGTGTGTGCACATTAAAAACTTTTGTTTGATACTAGACTGTAGATTTTTCTCATATATTAATATTAATGATAACATTCCACACAAACTGCAACCATCTTGTTACTCTGATCAACTAATATCGAACAAAATATGCTTGCAACGACTATAGTTACCAATATCGATTTCTAAATGAATATCCGCACATCCTGATTTATACCTTATTGTACTTTAAATACGATTTTTTATCAACTACCTAGCTACTTATAAATTCGCAGATTCGTTTTAAAGTGGATACGCGGTAAAATCAAAATCATCACGTTTAATATCGATAATAAAGACATACGCGAGTGCAAAACAAATTTTCCAGTTCACAGCAGCGTGACTGTATCGTGTACGTAATTATCAGAACATGTCTGTCACAAATGAACGGGTAATAGTGGTTTAACTGGCCATAACAGCTAGGAGTTAGGAAAAGTACTAACTAGCCGTAATGTGACAATTTAAAGTACATATACAAAAATCATACTATTATCTTATTAATATTATAAATGCGAAAGTTTGTAAGTTTGTATGGATGTTTATTACTCTTTCACGCAAAAATTACTGAACGGATTTTGATGAAACTTTACAGTAATATAGCTTATATATCAGAATTACAAATAAGCTATAAATTTCGTGCATGGGTGAAACCGCGTGCACAGCTAATATAATAATAATATCATTGGACAATACACATAACACCATCTAGTCCCAAGCTAAGCAGAACTTGTGTGATAGTACTAGACAACGGATAGAATACTTAGATACATTGTTTTTGTAAATACATATATAATATAGGTACATAGGAAGCACCCAGACCGATACAAACAGAAGAGGAACGAGGAATCGAACCCGCGACCATCGGAATTAAAGCGATGTGCTAACTATTCTCCTTTATAATATAATAAGTGAAAATATAACATATTGATGTTATAAATAATAACTATATATTTTTTTAAGAAATCAATTTAATAATATTATAAATTTTATATTTACTTAGTTTTATTTTTAATATTTTAAAATAAAAATAATATTATAAATTTTATATTTATGAGTTATTAATATTTATCATATTAATTAAAATAAATAATATCCCCACTAATGTAATACTAGAACACAACAACAAAGTTATATCGATATTTGCACATTTAAAAAGGTACTCTGCGATTTTATAAAGGATTTCTATAAAGGTTTATTCAATTTTTGGTAGATTTAATTTCATTATTATCTAAACATTTAAATAAAATTAGAGTATCTGTAATATTGAAATAAAAGATTTTTACTACATGCATGTGAATAAATATACGGTACGTACCAAAATAACATTTATTTACAATTTTGTCTGTCTGCCTGTCTGTCTGTCTGTCTGTTTGTTTCAGCTAATCTTCGGTTCGGCAGGTAGCTGATGCAATAAGGAGTAACTTAGGCTACTTTTATTTTAGAAAAATTCGTATATTTTAGCAAATGAAAATTAAATTCCACACGAACGCAACGAAGTCGCGGAGAAAAGCTAATCTCTATAATCAATGCATCATTATTCTCCACTAACGTTATAATTACTTATATACCCTACCACTTGAAAATATTTATTTATTTTAGAGCACACAATGAAATTGTACATACGACTATATTATGCTGTACAGAGAACGTATAAAAGGGTATATTATCATATCAATATTCAATAAATCATATGTGATATATTTGTAATAAAATTATTTTATGATAGTAGTAAACATCGTGTTTAACATAACAGAATGACAGAATAACATGATAGTTAATTACAAATCATATAACATATAACATGTAGATTTAATTTTATGAATAGAAAAATAATTGAGCAGAGCGCGAGTTATGTAGCGATCAGTGGGACGATCGAAACGATATTCTCCATTTTCGGACACGATTTCGGAATGAACGTTTTTCATGGTGCGAATCACACGAAATATCGATCCGAAATTTCGGAATTGCACTTCGTGGTAGACCTACAGATTTGCACTCTTTGTAACGATACTCCACCAAACGACTTGACTTATCGAGACCAAAATTTCAACGAAGGTGGACCTGAGGTCTCCGTTGTCTACCAAACAAATCCTGATCGGGCAAGATCGAGTTTTTAGACGGCTATCCGCTTGACATGTGACATGGTGTGTAAACAACACACCGATAACAAACCTAGTTATTGTAAATCACTAAATCACTTACTTTTAACCATATGAATTGTTACGTATTAATAACTTTAAGTACGTATAAACTATAAGTAAGAATTATATATTGTACGTATCTAGTAGTGGTTTTATATTTACAATTATATATAGTACCTAAATCAAATTTTAATAATAAATTTTTATTACTATCGAAACGCGTGATTGCTAGATAACACGTTCGCGACTTAAAGTCATCGAAAATGAATAATCATCATTAATTAATATATATACATATTATATACATACTAATCTAATAATTTTATACGTTTGTATATACTTTTTTTTATAATTATTTCCTACTATTATTTTATTTTCTTAGATAAGACCTAGACGATCAAATAGCGGATTAAAACTTCACACGTGATTCGATCGTAGTATAAAAATTATATGTCTCAATATATTATTACTGCGTAATTTTCCGACTATACCTGACCCAGCAGACATTATCAATATAATAATTATATTTTATCATTATCTGCGCTTAATTGATATCAAACAAACGTATCGGACGAGCAAATATCAAAGACAATTGCTCCTTCATGTGCGTTGGTAGTCATTATGTAAATTTAAACATTTTAACAATAGACGTTCATTGTGTAGTGTAATAATCGAAAATGATATTATAGAATTCAATCACCAGTGGTTATAAACAAACACAATGGCTGAGAAGAAAAGTAAAGCAATGGAGGCGTCCGATGAAAAACCATTGAAGGATGACGTTAAAGTAAAATTGGAGACACCAAAAACATTCACGGAGAAATTGTCGCACGTTAAAAGAAACATAACAGTGGAACCCTTGCTTGCTGGTTTAATTATACCGAGTATAATATCCAAATTTGCGATGGCGAATTTCAATATAGAGAAAGCATGTAGAGTGAATCTGGCGTTTGATGATGAAATTTGTGATGCGTTAATAAACAAAACTAACAATAATTATTCGATGTACGAGATGGAAGTGCAAAAACTAATAGCATCTATAGACATTTGGAAGGGGGTGATACATACGGCTTTGCCGTGTATAATAATTATGTTCCTTGGAGGTTGGAGTGATAAAACTGGAAAGAGGAAGATTTGTATTCTGTTACCAATATTTGGTGAAGTACTCACGTCCATTAACAATTTAATTAACGTTTACTTCTTTTACGAGATACCCGTTCAGGTGACTGTGTTTCTAGAGACATTCTTCCCAGCGATCACAGGTGGTTGGGTTACAATGTTCCTCGGTGTCTTCAGTTATATTAGTGATATAACTTCTGAAGAGACCAGAACCTTCAGAGTTGGACTGGTTAACCTTTGCATGACTGCTGGCTTACCGATCGGTATTAGTCTCAGTGGAATCCTTTTACAAAGAATGGGATATTATGGAATATTTACAATGACAACGGCGATGTTCTTAGTAGTGCTGGCGTACGGTGTTTTCCGCCTAAAGGAGCCTGATGATTTTCTACGAGAGAATGGACTTCCACCAGTAAGTATATTTGCCAATTTTTACATATATGTCCTTAAGTCTAAGATTATTATTTCTATATTAACATTACTTATATAATCTAATTGTACAACTAAGAACATAAATTTAAAATGCTTAAAAAAATATAATATGATGACTAAAATATATTATTAAAAGGGGTCCCTTTAGGCAATGTTCCGAAGATACTGGCAGCGTTCCCTCTTTGAATAGAGTAATTCTTTCTCCAAGGTAGCTGCCAGCTCTTCGGTCTTCTGTGATGTCGGCTAACCTTTTCGTTATTTCTTTGAAAAGTCATATATAAAAGTCTTAGTCTAAGATATATTTTACAAGCAAAGACATAATAATTTATAAATAACTTTGCTTGTTTTCCAATGTAGACTTTGTACAGAGACAGAGTCGTTGCGTTAGTACATCTGTCCTACCTATTCAGTGGGATTGATGTGTATAGCTACGAAGCAGCTTACAGTGTATGATGTATGTCGATTAAATGAGGATAATGCAGTAAATAGTAATACCATGGGCGTCACAAGATAACGCAATTTTTGTTTATGTAAGCCAAAGCTACCGTATACCACAATTGTTTGCCAGTACATTTATATAAAAAAATTGTATGTATGTATACAGAACAGAATAATTAGTTCATAAATGAAGCATAACCTGAGTTAACATAAAATACTTTTTATTCTAATTGATATGAACAATATTCTAAGTTTAAGGTTAGTGGAGTAATAATGAACTTTCCATAATTCCAGTATTCAATCTAGATAACATATTTAATAATGTCAAACAATAATAACCAAAATTAAAATGGATAGCAGCCCGCAACTCCCGCTTTAGTTAATTTATTCGAGAGTTAATTAGCTGAGTTAGTTAGCAATTTCAATTCACTAATTGCGATGCAGTTGTCTAGCATCGTAAAGACTTATACATTTTACATGGTTTTATATTAGTTTTCTACAAAATTTTCATATTGACACTTCGTAATCTTATTAAAAAATATGCTTTAACTCAAAATTTACACATATTGTAAAATTAACTTTAGACTAAAAATATAAAATCCATTTTACAAATTTCTGATTTATTGTTATTGTTATATTTTATATATATTTACAGTCATTGTTACTAATATTGGCAACTTCACTATAATATGGAAAAAACAGTGACTTCGTAAACACAGGTTTATATTTTCTATACCTACCTCGGAACAATTCAACTCAGTAAGAATAAATAATAAAACTAAAACACAAATTAGGGATGCTGGTTGGTCTATGCTGGACCGTAGCTATAGTTGTGTATGTATCTGCCGACCGGCCACCGTTAGGTATGTTTCAATTAGTCGCCAAAATACAACCGAGAAGATACAACGTCGTTTTATTTAAATTTGAAAACAAAATTCCACTTCTCCCAAAGTAAACTGAAAGCAGCTTTAACACAATCAACAGATGCGTAATGCGTATTTATTTCACATATTTAAAAAAAAATCATTTATGAAGTCCTTCTGAGTTGAGTTATTCCTGTCTTAATTAAAATTTCTCCATATTTTAAATTAGGATTTATCAATAACTTACCTATGGAGTAAGCATAGAGGCATATCATATGACACGATGGCCGTGGTGTTGTTCATATCTATATGCAAAGCCCTACGGCCATTTTCAATGCAATTCAACTTGTTTAGAGTTGTAGATACATAATAACAACTGATACGTAATTGCTTCATGTTTTCAAAGTTTATAAATGTCTTTCTACCCTTACCAATAGAATGTTTAGGTCTAGTATAATAAATGATTCTCTTACATTCAACTCTATTTACAGTCAAAGATGACTGACTCTTTCCCTTTCTAGCCAACTCAGTAGTAATAAATGATAAATTTAAATTAAAAAATCAGTTATTCATGTAGGACTTTTAAGCCGCTTGAACGTATTTTTTTCGTATTATAACTTTTTCCCTACCGTCAGTTCAGTATACAATTAAGCAACTCATACGAGTTTCTTATTTTTTAAAGTCGGTTTATTTAAAGGAAGAGATATGCTTTTTAAACTTTTAACACAACAGAGCGCAATAAAAATGTTGTATATAAAACAAATGTGTATAAAAAACGCTTCAGTTTTAAATATAGATGTAGGAACATATCAACTGCCAGTGATTCTTATTGTAGGTCTAACAAAATCCTCTTTCAAATGTATGTATTACCTTATACAGAGCCTATTACATTATTCACATTTATTCTAATTGACGGCGTTGGTGGGTTAGTAGCTTTGGACACCACCTTACTTTCAATCACAAGTTCGATCCTCGAACTTGTTTCTATGTATATTATGTAAATTTTTAACAAAAGAAAAAGATTTTAATATATATCAGATCAGTTATTTAGTATCCATAACAGCTCTGCTTAGCATGGATCTAGATGGCGCTGTGTTAATTGTCATGGATTGTTATTATTATAAATTTCTTTAACACATTTACCTATTTATGTTGTACCTAAATAATATGTATATTTACGATAATAATGTTAATATTCCTTATCTACAAATTGAAATACTTAACATTGGATTAATCGTTTTATAATTCCATAGATAATCTACACTCCCATAATCAAAAATATGATATAGGTTACTCAGGTATTTATACCTAATTAATACTAAAATGTATGGCCAAGTTCACTTGTCACGTTGGTGTTTGTAAAATATACTAATCTATACAAAAAAATAAAATTGAAGTGTCAGTTTGTAAAAGACAATTACAGCTTTTTATTGAATGCATATGAAAGTGTAGAGTAAGCCTCTATCAACACGACATTTTATATGAAAGTTTGTTTCAAATCTCTGAAACGACTATTCTTATTTTGACGGGACTTTCACTCGCAGATGTTAAAAAGAGTAACCTATGCTATCTTTTACATTTTATGAAAAAAAAATTCACATGGACAAAATAAATAAATAAATAACGCTGGACAATTAACACAGTGCCATCTAATACCACAGGAAGCAGAGCTTGTGTTATAAATACTTAAGTTTAATTTTTTTTGTAAATACATACACATATACATACCCAGACCGTTACAAACAATCGTACTCATGAATACAAATGTTTGCACCATGCCAGGAACCGAACCCGCGACCATACTAACCGCGGAAGTAAAACAATGTGGCTAATCACTAGACCACCAAAGCCGTCGTAGCGGGTAACAGCTACATAAGGCTATTACTCTAGAAGGGATAGTCAGCGATAATAGTTACAGCTGTCACTTGACACTGGTATATTTGAATCCAAATAGAGCAACTGTACCGCCGCCTCCCTGATTATTTCGGTGTGTTATTGGTGTTTCAATCACTGGAGAGTCCTTAAGAAAAAGACTGGAAAAAATTTTTTTGGGTATCATAATAATTCAAACTAAGGATTTTGGGATCTAAATCGGGGTAGTTCACAATGCCACAACGCATTCTTAATATCTACCAGAATAGTTTATCTTAATAATATTATAAACACGAAAGTTTGTAAGTATGGATAATTGTTACTCTTTCACGCAAAAACCACTGAACGGATTCTGACGAAACTTTACAGTAATCTTATGCATCAGAATAACACATAGGCCATATTTTACATTGAAATTTAACGCGGATGAAACCGCGGGCGCAGCTAGTATATTACAAAATAAATTTGTGAACGCTGTATTCCAGTATGACAAAATTTTATTAAAACATATATAGCACCCAAGTGAAACCGGGGTGTATCTCTATCACCTCAATTAATTAATTTGGCGGCCTCGGTGGTCTAACGCTTAAACCGCCTTATTTCCGATGGTCGCAGGTTCAATTCCCCACACGATACTGATATTTATATTCATGAGTATGGTCTTTTGTATCGGTCTGGGTATTTTCTATGTATATATAAACAAAACAAAATGTATCAAAGTATTTATATCAATTTTTGTAATACCCATAACACAAGTTTTTCTTGTCTTGGCTCTAGATGGCGCTGTGTGAACTGTGTGATATTATTATAATTCGATATTAACTTTCAAATTCGCTCAAGGTCAACATATAGTTATCGGTCACAAAATTATTATAAAAGTAATCTTTTAGATAAATGTTAATTATGTCAATGATAATGTATATAACATACAACACAAGTACATAGCTATCGATTTAGGGTACACACTACTCATAACGATAACTGTGTTAATTATTTTCTTTTACTCGTAGATAAAAAATATGATTAATTTAAAATAGGCATGTCTAGTAACGAACAGACGTGGCTCGATGTTTATATATGATCTCAGGTACTATTGATCCAATTTTGAAAATTCTTTTATTATTGGATACCTTTTTTACCGGAGTGTTATAAGAAGTATATATATACTAGCTGTGCCCGCGGTTTCACCTGCGCGTAATTTATAGCCTATATGTTATTCTGATGTATAACAGTTCAGTAGTTTTTCGTGAAAAAGTAACAAACATTCATCCATACTCACAAACTTTCGCGTTTATAATATTACTAATATACTATTTTTGTTAGTTCTGTAGAAAATGCTAGAGCAATACGAAACATCCGCTAATAAAATGACTACTTTCTCGATCTTAGGCGCTTTTATTTTTAGTATAGTTAATGTCACAAATGTATACAACAAACATACAAGAGTCATTACTGGCACTAACCAACAATTCACAAACTTTGTCCACAGATAGAACGGGAGAGCACTTCGGAAGTGTCGTTTTTCGATGTAACTCACGTCGGCGAGACGATTGCAGTGGCGTACAGGCCTCGTCCCTCGAACAGAAGGGTCAAAGTTATCTTGACACTTTTCACCGTCTTCATACTCTTCGGGCCCAGCATGTGTGAGTTGACGAGTTTATTATGAGGGATACGTGAGGCGGGTGGTAATGTAGGCTGGGGGCTATTAAATGAAGCGAAACGTTCAATTCTCACAAAGATATAATCGTTAGATAGATACAATATTCTATATGGAACTCATACATCTATTATTGTTATGGCTAGTATTTTGCTTTTTTTCTATGTCCATCTTGCAATCATATCGTTTAGAAAAAGTCTTTCATGGGAATGGATATAAAATTTTACAATAAGGTACCAAAAAATATACCTTTAAATAAATTTAAACTCACTAACCGATTACTTAAATAACAAACAATGCATGGAAAAACCTGTGCATGCGCGGGATTTTCATGTAATGTTAAACATAGACACCTACATAAATATACAACGTAAATTGGCTTTAAAAAATAAAATAAATACTGTTGAGTTTCTTGCTAGTTCTTCTCAATGAGTCTGTATACTAGACGGTAAGGAAAAATATTAATTTAAAAAACATCACGTTCAAAAACATCTAAAATACATGAATAAATGATTTTTGATTTGATTTCAATCAGTCTAAGACTATGAGCAGATGTGGTACATTTATTCGTACGTAGAGTGTGATTCATAGTAGAGTGATCGCCTCTTCAGATTATTATTGCTTAATGTCATTATTTTATATTAAAAACAATCCATTTCAGCAGCTTACTTTGTAAAATTTGTTTCTATTTAAAACTGAGATATGACAGTGAAATTACAGGATATGCCTACGCATTACATCTTAGTCCTCGGGAATTTCAATACATGGGCGGTATTAGTGATATCACGTGGTGATGTAATGACTATAGTACTATTTATATAAGCAACAGTTGCCACTGGGAGAAAGGGGATTGGCAGTAATATGGACTGATAACCCTATTGCTAGCAATGTACCAAGTCCATATCAATGTACCATTGATATTCACGTGGTTTGTAATCCATCTTGATAAATTTCTTGTATTTTTGACACGGTGGGCTGACTCAACCTAAGAACATGTCTTCTTATTATCCTCTACTTGTGCCCCGCTAGCATTACCGCAGATGAGCATACGGACGCTCCATTCCTTTATCATACATAAAAAACAGTTGCAACAGGTGGGCTCATCTGTTATTCCAGGTTCGATTCCTCGCACAGTGCAAACATTTGTATTCATCAGTGTGATTATTTGAACGGTCTGGGTGTTGTCTATGTATATTATTTATATATTTACAAAAAAAATGTTAGTAAATATAAAATGTAAGTATTTATATCAGTTGTCTAGTACCCATAACACAAGCTCTGCATATCGTGGGACTAGATGGCTTTATGTTAATTATCCAGTGTTACTAGTCATTAATCATCAGCTAGACTTTCATCCCTATTTACCATTTTATTTACATAAATTAAATATATTTCTTTTACAATTTCAGCGGAGCATCACATATTCTATCTGTTTGTTAGAAATCAACTCAATTGGGATATGGTCAAATTTGGCCTCTATACCAGTTACTCTATTCTTTTACACTCAATAGGTAAGTCATATATATATTTATTTTCCTTTAATCTATCCATAGATAACATAATAGTAACAGAGAGAACGATATTACTAGCAATGGTGACTAGTTTTTCTTTTATTACCACCTACAGATAACAATACTGACAAAGATAAGGGGATTATTAGTAATGGGGACTAGGGTCTCTCCGCGGTCCCTAGAAAATAAAAATGGTTTATTCCTTCAATTCACTACTATCGACTAACTAGGCTGTCTTCATTCTGACATCTACTGGCATTGTGATGATAATATGAGATACATATAATACCTAAACAGATACACACACATATATATTTTACAACATAGTATAATTTTAAAAAGCAGTATATAAAAGAATACAATAGAATAGAAAATCCTTTAAATCCTTTATTCAAATAAACTTAATTCAAGCGCTATTGAATATTTCAAAGAAAAGAAGAAACAAATACTACTTATAAAAAATTTATTACATGACCTTCCATTCCTCTTTCTTAATGCCATCCTCCACTGGTATCCCTCTGACGTATATTGTTAGCGCAGACGGATCCACCAATCGTCTATCAGCCACTAAAAAAACATAATCGTTATCTATAAACCAATCAAGTCTAATAATAATAGTACAATGCACTATCAATAGACTATACTAATTAGTAACTTTCGATAAAGTGATAATAAGAAATAATTAATAATACTTTGTATATGTAAATAATAATAATGTAAAGGGTAAGATGATAACAGAATATTTTAGTCACTTATAATTCATCAATTTTACAATGTATTTTTAATCTTGATATATAAAAAATACGTGTCACGTTGTTTGTCCATGATGGACCTAACCTACTGAACCGATTGCAAATTTGATTTGCACATTGTGTGTAATTTGATCCAATTTGAAAGATAGGATAGCTTACATCTCAATTTATAGTCGCAATATTATTTTATTCAAGAACTTTAGCGGGTTTATGTAACCCGTGGCCGGGTCTGCTAGTTTACTATATATTTCATATTATTCTAGATTTAAAATGTAAATAGGGCAGCTATCTGAAAAATCGTAATATTTACAATTTTATACGCGGAAGACGTCATAAATCGTTCTGTTGAATATTCTCAAAAGTTACTTTTAAAAATTTAATAAAAATATTTTTTTTAAATTATGCTTATTTATTACTATCTACCTAAAAACAGACTCTCTTGAGGTTGTTTCCCCTATACACTATATATAGTTAACATATCGTGTTCTGGGAACCCGGTCTACAAAATTCTGACTCCCCCATGGGTCAGATGCTGGCTATGCCAATGTATCATAATAATATTTGCCCTATCAATATCTTATTATATGAATATCAGCAAGATAACCTAAGACATTACATTCCAGACAGAATAACGTTTACAAAAAAGCCGTTATCTTATTTAAAGATATATCTGAACTAACAAGTATATAGGAGAGATGTACTAATACTATTAATTATAATCCTATCTTAATTATAAGACTGTATCTGCGACTTCATATATGTATAGGCATATTTGTATACGGTATCTATTCATGATCAAACAAAATTATACAAAACACCTGCACAACACAATGTACTATTCGATTAATAAATAAATTAATAAATCTAGCTAACCTTCATCTGCATCACACTTACTTGACATTTATCATTATATATCACCCAATTTATATAATATCTTTTTAAATTATTGCCTATTTATGTTATTCCGATTATAAGCTATATTACTCTAAAGTTTATCAAAATCCGTTCAGTAGTTTTTGTATAAAAGAATAAGAAACATCCATCCACTCCAGACCCACAAACTTTCTCGTTTATAAGATTAATACGATTTACAAACACTAAACAAACGGTTAACAAAAACTAATTATTTATATGAGTTGTCTAGTACCCATAATACAAATTCTGATTTGCTTGGAACTAGATGGCGCTGTGTGAATTATTCAAAAATATTATTATTAATTGTTGCTTAGATATTCCTTCTTAACAGAGATAACGCTGTTGAGTGATTTTATCTTTGGCCTAATAATTTATCATACAATGACTTGTTTAAATATATATAAGGACCTAATTGAGAAATATATATTTGTCTTTATCATCGACATTGAATACAGATAGTACTTCTAATTTTTTTCTCTTTTACATCCACACTAGCGAACCACCCCGGCTTCGTATGCATGCAATTTTTGAAGGACTCTATATTGAGAACTCTATTATTTTAATATATTAAAATTCTAGCTATGCCTACCATTTTCCCGCGTGTAGTTTATAGTCTACATATTATTCTGCTATATTACTGTAAAGTTTCCATTCATAAGTTAATCCATCCATCTATACATCCATACTGACAAATTTTCGCGTATATAGTATTAGTAATTAAAATATAGCTCGTAATGCCAATTAATATAATCAATCTACGGAAAGACTTACGGCGGAATTTTTAAAATGGCCTAATTATCTTTGCTATTATTTATTTTATTTTCTAATAATATAGCTTTCAATAAGTATTATTTTAGTTTGTCCATAAAAAACATAAAAGTATTCATGTTTCATTTCTATCTATAGTACCCATAACTAACCTCCACTTATTTTGGGACTAGATGAATACTTTTTAAAAGTTAAATCTCTCCTTTTTATTATATAAGATTAGATTTTCTTCAGTTTGTTTTGTGTTATACATATTAGTTATATATATTATATATTATCATTATTTATGTACCGTAATATTAATTTTTATGAGGTTTCAGGAGCTATGTTTTCTATCACGGTGTTGAGTAGACGACTACAAGTGGATGACTCCTTGCTCTGTCTCATATCTATTACAAGCAAGTTCGTTGGATCGATATGGACTGCCTTCGTGAGATCTGATATAGAAATGTATTTAAGTATGTATTTTGCTTATTAATATCAAAAATATATCTTCACGACTCTTAACCCTATGTGATACTTTGTGGCTTTGTCAACTAGAGGTCGTGGTGAACGTAACACTTAATATGACCACAAAATTTTGTCCAAAAAATAAAAACTTAATATTAAAGTACGCCCACCCTTATTTAGGGACATAAAAAATAGTTTACGACCTATTCTCAGACCTACTGAATATATACAAAAATAAATATTAAGATTACGAACACTAAATGTTATATAACCTATGATACTCATAAGTATACTAAGATCAAATCCGCAACCATTGAAAGACCTTGGAAGAGAGGTATCGACGCAGAACATTTTGCGCAAAATATACGACCTCGGTGGCATGCGAGTCCGCGCACTGTACAAATATTTGTAATCATGAATATGATTGTTTGTATTCTCGTCTCTTCTTCATCGTGAATGGGTGCTGCTTGTGGGGACTGGTCTGTTCGGGTTACGAACACTGATTATACTATTTGCGTTTGCCATAGCATATACTGCTAATCACTCTATTCTCCCAAAATTGAATTTAAAAATGAGTCTGTATTATTGTAAACATGTACAACATTTATTTGAAAAGAATACAAGCTGAGTTTTTTCACCAGAAATCATTCCAAACTCACTCTAATCTATAATAAACCTATGTTCATGAACTTTTGAAAATCGTTGCTTGTAATGAGTTTATTTGAATAAAGATTATTTCTATTCTATCTATTTCTGTTGAAGCTGTTCATCAAATGTGACTAATCATGTCATCAAAATCATGCAATCAGAGAAGTTTTATTTCAAGCACTGTGACACAAATATTAGATAAAATCATTGTTATGTATAACCATAAATTTTTCATTCAAGATAATATTATTATGCATTTTATTATCAATAAACAAATAGTAGATAGAGATGCCTATAAATATGGTTAATTTTGCACTTCTACATTTACCTATCGTTAAATTAGAATTATTATTTAATTTGCAGTTCCCGTCGCTGAATTTCTTAATGGTACAACATTCACATCTCTACGCTCTATCATATCGAAACTAGTTGATAAACAGGAAACAGGTAAGATATCTAAAACTGACCATCGACCCACCTTCTCTTCCACCTTCAGCTCTGCATGGGTGTACAATGTAACATATGTGACAGAAGTCGTATAATGTTTTTATTATAATAATCTCAGGACAATTCTATATCAATATCTTTTCCATCAGATAACGTAAGACCAAATTTAAACTCGTTTATAATAAAAGAATCTTATTTTATATACCTGTAATGGCAAACCGACTAATGCATGAAAAACTAATAACACGTCATCATGTGACACCCGTGGTATCCTTCATGCTTAGTAATTCCGTAGAAATAAGTTGTCATGCTTCCGTATCCTACTACCCCTTCTACCGACACTCAGCTTTAATAAAAAAAGCTGCTGATTTAGGTGAGTTAGTGGTGCCTACGCAGACTTTGGATAAAACTCAGCTCAATAAAAACGCACTTAAATTGTGACCATAAAGAATAATTGTTGTTAATATAATAAATTATTTTTCAGCTAAGGTGAATTCACTGTTTTCTTTAACGGAGACATTAGCATCTCTGCTGTTTAATCCACTGTACTCCTGGCTGTACATGAGGACCCTCCACGTCCTGCCAGGGACAGTGTTCCTCGTCAGCGCTGCCTTGATCATACCAGCAGCTATTGTACTTATGTAAGTATCATATAAATATATTTTATGGAACACCTGTTCTTTGTTGCCCTTTTATTCATAAAAAATGTTAAGTAAACGTCTCAGTCTAATCTAATTAGAGATAATTGATAAATTAAGTAACATGTTAAGAAGTAATGAGGAGACGACAAAGAATGACATTATGAGACAAGGGAGAGAGGAACAAGAAAAGGGACAAGAAGTCAAAAATTTTCTGACGTCATATCTTAAAATATAGGTATTAAAACACACAATTTAAAATATTCAATAGTATCTCATTAAGCTATAGAAAGCGAAATAAGAAACATGGCGAACATGAACAAAGCTACTTAACTCGCAGTGCTACAGGTCTAAGAACGTAGCGAAAGCCTTTGCTATAAACTAAATCTCAATCACTAATATTCCTACCATTTCTGCTTTTTTCAGTTCCTTCTATCTACAACATAAAAAGGAAGTTAGAAATGAAAGAAAAGAAGCACTAGAAGCGGAAGAAAAGAAAGAAGCTGAAGCTAATACAGCTGGTACTATCAATTTCTATGATAATGATACTAAAGATCTTAACACTAAGAAAATGGATATTATGAATATTTCTCCTCTGTCGAATAAGAAGTCTATTTCTAATTCACTTAAAATAAGTACCGTTGGTAGCAGTAAAAAGGAAACATAATTTAAATTTATTTTTTCTACCTGTTGCTTTAATTATGTAACGCAGTTGTTAACAATTCTCATTTCAAACAGATTTATAATCCAAAACGATAAATCTATTTTGTTAGTACATATTATCATTCCACAATTAAGCTTGTAAATGCAACTCTAAATTTTTTGATAAATAAAATCGCAAATCTATATTTTAATGGGCTACAATAGCAGCAGCAGCCTTTCATAATAATACCCACAACATTAAATCATTTTGAAGATATAAGAACTATGATAATGTGTATTTATACATAAAAGTGCTATTGCAATAAATCATGTACATTCATTCTTTGATATCAGATTACCGACAATTTTCATGAGAATGGGATTGATTGAAATTGACAATTTAGCGATTATTTATGAAAATTTTGACAGTGACATTTCTGACAACACTTCGGTCTATATCTGCAGCTGTCAAATACGCGTAGTTCATTCGAAAATCAGAAAACTGACAAATTGTGTTTGTTGTCAAATGAGTTTTAGAATTAGCAACTGATTTATATAATTAAACCACAGATTCTCTCTGTTTTATAGAGCGGAATATGAAATTGTTAAAATCAGAATAATATACCTATAATGTATGTTTCAAAATTTAACAAATATACATTAATTCAATAGACCTTTGACTCCTTGTTATTATCTAATCTCAAAAACTTTTATCAGTGTCCACAAAATTGGCCAAGGTTGAACTTTCATAGAATTAATACTTCACATTTATTATCTTCGTCATTAACTCCTTTATTTATTGAAAACTAAAACCAACAATTTCATTTTACGTATTACAAAGGACAAAACAGTTTAATATCTATAAATAGGATATTATTTGGCATTTTTATTATTTACAATAGATAATAAACATAAAATATTATAAGCGGATATAATTTATAACAAATACAAAGAAATTGATCATAAACAGAACGGTCGTAGTTATATAAAATGTAAAGGTATAACAAATATTAAAGTACGTCAAATTTTATCATTTAAAAAGTCCGATATATGATATAAATTTAATGTTCAATATTCAGTGTATAGTTAAGAAACTGTCTATGTACCCATTGCAAGGCCACAGACTATATTAATATTGTTTATGTTTAAATCGATAAGGATTGTATGTATATATATTATGGCATAATCATATGACAAAACTAATCACAATCATATCGAAAGCTAACATTTTGTGAAATATCTCTTATATATATAAAATTCTTGTTATAAAAATAAATGTAAATGTTAGTACCAAACTCCTCCGAAACGGATTTACCGATTTTTATGAAATTTTATACACATATTCAGTAGGTCTGAGAGTCGGCTACTATCTATTTTTCATACCCCTAAGTGATAGGTTGTCCACCCCTATAATTTTTTTTATTTATTGGACAAGAGTTTTGGTATTAAAAACATAGATACAACCCTAAATTTTCACCCCACTATCACCAACCCCTATTTTTTTTATTTATATGGCAAAACAACGTTTGCGGGGACAGTTAGTAATTTTGTAATTTTGTCAACTATTGTAATAATTCACTATCTGTTCATATCATAGAATTAATGTACCCATACAAATTTAAAATCCCATTTTCATTGTACTAATTAGGTATCCTCAATTACGGCTTTATTTTTTCTATTAAGGCCAGAGAAGTGACGCTGTTTTGCTGTCAATTAACGTCAACATATAGATAAACAACAGTATTAACAGTGGTGCCAATGATCTAATAATGAGCTTATTTTACGATATGACCTTACAATAATTGACCACATTATATCTATATTAAATAAACTATAATTTATAAGGTCACATGATCTTTATTCATTGAATTGGCCATACCACATACTCGTAATATATGTATTTAAACAACAATAATAAATATCCGTAAAGTATCGCAAAAAGGTAATCTGCGATATAACGAATTTTGCAATTTGGTCACGATATATACTTATGAACATATATAATTTCATATGCTCATACTTATACCCTTTTGAGGTCCTTAAGAGAGAATTCCACAAGGTCTCCAAATGTTTATTTACCTTAAACGATATAAAAACATTAAGAAAAGAGTTTATTCCTTATTAAAGGCTGGTAACGCACTTGCAATTTATCTGGTGTTGTAGGTGTTCATGGACGGCGATAGGCACTTATCATCAGGTGAACCGCAAGTTCGTTTATCTCCTATGCTATAAAAAAAATAAACATTCCTATTTTTCAGAGTTCGTATAATTAATGTAATGCCAGTAATATAACTTCATTTTAATTGACTTGCAGTTTTGCGTACATATATCTATCAACTTTTATCCATAGAAATAATATAAAGCTACAGGGCTGAATTAAAAAAACTGTAATTTAGTTTTAAATAGTTCATTTATCGGGGAAGGCTATATATTATGTGAAATTACGCTAGCTACCAGTCCAATATGAGCGGAATATCAATGAAAAATGTTGCAAAAACGGGCAAAAATTTCTTCCTTAAGAGAGCAGAAGTTGCGCCAGTTCAGTTATAAAAAACGAAACTTGCAAACATCTAAGTTTTTAGTATTGACGAAGAAAAATCGTCCTTATTTTAATTACACATAAAATACAGAATCTATCTACAGTACACGGTCAAGTAAGAGAGAGGCATGTCACTTTATGTTCTTGAGAAGCGAACTGTAGAATATTTTTGATCTCTATATATGCATAGCATAAGGGTTATTTTACTGTGACAGGAATAATATTTGTAAAACCTGGCCTTAACTATTGAGACTGGACTATGTATTTTACTTTAATTTGTAATCTGTGATTGTTAATTACACTAAACTAACTTTTAATCTAGCCTCACATTATTAGTTCAATTGGGCGTCTGACCTATTAGACCGTGTTCTGATTGGTGCGTTTCCATAAAGGGCGGGGCGTAGTGCCATATGCGCGAATCAGAGCTATACTCTGTACAATTGTCTAACTGAAACTAATTGTGTAACCAGATTTAGTCTAAGCTCTAATTACGTTTAATTATAATATTAAGTCTATAGTACATAACAATATATTACCTGTTACGAATAAATTCTAAGGTTCTTCTAGGAAAGTCGTTTTTTTTTTAATTATATTAATATTTGTTATTTTCTAAGATTTCTATTGGTATTAATATTTTTAAAAAAGGTTTACGAAACAGATTGTAAAATATCTCAAAGGTGAAATGCACTGGAATAAAAAGCAATAAAAGTTATAAATTAAAAAAAAAATTGTGTGCTTTATTTAGTGTATCTGTCAGTCTGTGAGTACCTATATAAACATATATAATTTGTAGTGAATACAATAAGTATAAATAAAAAAACCCAATTTTTTTAGTATTTAGACGACTACGAATTTCTTAGATCATAAATTACAATGTGAAATATTTATGTACCTATATTGTTTAGGTTCCCTAACATACAGATTATCTAATATTAAGTATAGATAGCTTTACAAGACAAATAAAATCGTACAAATATTATTAATTCAAAAGTATCTGTCAGTCCGTCTCTCTCTCAGTTTGTAAATTTTTAATAGCTTAACAAATATTAAGGCAATTTGACGTAAAGATAGACTATGTGACAAAGACCGAAATAGGCTATATTTTATTTTAGAAAAGCAGACATTGGCCCGAAATATAATCAGTATTACCAAAGCTTTCTCGAGAAACTATAGCATAGGGTTTTTTCAAGAATGGTATTTTATGGTTTTCTAGAATGGTAGCCTATGGGGCCTTGGTTTGGCGGACAAGGTAGAAACTCACAACCACAGTCAATAAACTGGCTTGCCTGCTCTTCAGTTACTGGATGTAAGAAAACAACCCTAACTACAGCAATAGAAATAGCCCTCAACATCCCTTGACTTATACATACAGCAGGAGGCAGCTATAGATGCCACAAGATTATACCATCTTGGTCTATGGAGCAAAAAGCATAACAGTTCTCATACTATCCTGAACCAAGTAATCGAATATGAACCTTTGATTGCCGCTCCGTGTGACAGACTTAAACATATCACTCATTCAACAGGAAATACCAAATACAAATTAAACAGGAGGAAAGGGATCTGCAGTAAATGAACTACGCATATACACAGATGGCTCCAAAATACAGAACGGTTCAGGAGCTGGAGCACACTCCCTCGACCTCAACATGAACATATATATATACCGCTCGGTAAACACAGTTCGATTTTCCAATGTGAATGTTATTAATAATCGAGTGCCACAATGCCATGGACAAAATAGCAATGCACAACAGTGTAATTATCCAGTGGATAAAGGGGCACAGTGGATCAAATGGTAATGATGCCGCGGAGGAACAGGCGAGAAGAGGATCTAGTATTGCGGTAGCAGATTCACTCCCGCTTTTACCAATACCCTTCTCACAATTTCGAACGTGGATTCGTCAGAGATCCACCGAGGCAATCAAAATTGGCAATTCCAAAAACAAACCATCGATTGACAAAACGCCTACTGAATCTAGATAGGCATAACCTCAATTGTCCCTTAAACAAACACCTGTACGGCTGCTCACGTAATCCTGGAATGCGTAGCAGTGGACACACAACGAACACAAATCCTACTGCCTGTGGAGCCACCAGGTGACTTCTGCGCTTTTGGGAGCAGCTTGGCTGGCTACTTTAGTAGTCTGGCTCTACACGCACATCGGCCCAAATGAGAGGCTAATTGCGGAGACTGCCGGAGTCTAATTTACATAACATGGTTTCTTATGGATCGGCAGCGCGCACGTGACATACTTAGTGGTTCAAGCGTCCATAGACTACGGTTACCGTTTACCATCAGACGGGCCGTATGCTTGTTTGCCGACGTGGTAATGGTTGTTATTGACAGCTGATATGACATGATTACAACTCATATCTAAACAAATAAATAAAATTGTAATGTCTGTTTGTGATATATAAATTAACAACTATTCACTAAATACATGTGTATATATATACGTTACTTAGATAAAAAATTATTATAAAAACATATTGTCTGTCTGTGTGCATATTTGTTCTTGACAAACTCGGACCTGGCTGGACCAATTTTGACAGGACTTTCAATCGCAGGTGAATAATGTTATAAGAAATAACTTACGCTACGTTTATTTTAGAAAAATCTGGACAGCCGAGGTAAACAACACGTTATATTTATTAAAGAAACTAGCTAATCAGCGTAACGTATGCCTTATTTTCCTCATTTTTACAACTCTTTTTGTTAGTCATAGCGTAATGTTATATAGCTTCTAGCATTTTTTTATAAATGAGCTATCCGATACTAAAAGAATTGTCAAATTCGAATCTTAATCATTTTTTTATTACTTTTAAACCAAATTTCTGTAATCTTTTAAAACCTTCATTTAATGTATTTAAATGCTCATAGTCATATTTCCCGGTTAAAATTAGATCATTCAGGAATGTCGCAACGTTTGACATGTCAGAAAACAATTGTTCTATTTTCCTATTTGACTAGATGAGACACCGTACACTAATCTATTATACATATAAACACCTCTATGCGTGTTAATCGTTGTGAACTTTTTTGAAGCTTCATCCAATTCAAACTGCGCGTACGCTTGGCTAAGGTCAATTTTTGTGAATTTTTCCCCTCCATTTAATTTAACTAACGATTCATCTATTCTCGGAACGGGATACCTATCGATTTCTAAACATTTATTTAACGTAAGTATAAAATCACCGCATAATCCGATTTCATGACTAGTACAATGGGTGTGGCCCAATTCGAAGTTTCAACTAGTACAATAATGCCGTCCCTTACCAGCTGATCGAGTGCGCGCTCGACCGGTTGCCGCATCGCGAACGCTAGAGGTCATGCCCGCATGAACACAG